CGTCATGTCCATATGTCCCGCTCGCATCTGCCGCGAGTGTGCCATTCTTCCTCATCATACATGTGTATTCATAGGATAAAGCCCCTCGCTAAGTGCCAGCCGAGATCGAACGTGTAGAGAACAGACATGGACAGTGCCCCGCATGAGACACACCATACTCCATAGAAAATGAGAATCTGCCAGTCATATTAAGCGTTTTTCATGCATGTGTTAGCCTCCAATACAAAAAATATAAGACATTCTAACAGATTTACGATTGTTTCTTCGTGTCAAGGAAATCGTTATAGAAATATCGAGAAAGCCGCAATTTGTTGGTTTCATTCACTTCGACGTTGTCGAGGACATACACCGGTCATACACTGATTTGGAAGCGTGTTTGTGCATTAACCACTTAAATGTCAGTAGCGTGTCACTTGGGGCGAACCACCATGCAAAAACAGCTACGTGTTAATATTGACGGCTAATGGTTTCGTTCACCTATGCGTTGCACCTGCGTCAACCGACCACACTCCGTACATGTATAAAAAACGGAAATGAATAGCCCACAAACCTCTCTGTTTTTATCTGACAGTCATACGTAATGTACTGCTATAGTGAAGCCCAGAAGCATCACACCAAATGGGTCCATCAAACTTCAATTCGGTAAAGAGTTAAGGCAGAAAGAACAGGAACAGCACGAACGAAAAGCCAAAACATCGAAGATATGAAAAAAACACGCGGCGATTTGACCGCAAGGGAGTATTCTAAGGCACCTGTTTACGGCTGTCAGGACCGATAATACTCAGCTACATTCTTCAAGAGGCATTCAACATCGTCGATATGATCTTCGTTGGAAGGCTCGGTGCTGGCGCGATAGCGGCTGTCGGCGTGAGCGGAAACTTAATCCGGTTATCGGGGTTTTCTCGCTTGGCATTTCAACAGGAGCGGGGATATGGTGGCACAGTACCTCCTGAGCAAGGAACCTCGCGCAGGCTGAGCACATCGCCATGCAGTCAATCCTGTTAGCTGTTTTTTTCTCCATCGGTGTGACCCTCGTCGTTATCCCTTAGCTGAACAAGGTTTACTCGCTGTCAGAATGGTAGATCCAGAGTATTAAGGCTCGGCACCACGTTACACATGGCATATCATTCTCGCCGGTATTAGTACGATGTTCGTTCAATGACTCTCGGTTCTGTCTTTCGCGCCGGTGGCGACACAATCACCCCAATGGTGGTGCTGATTTTCGCAACACTGATTAATATCACGCTTGACCCTTTATTAATCTTCGGTTTATGGGGATTCCCGAAACTGGGGTCGCAGTTCCGCGTATGCGACGCTTATCGTGGCGCGGGGCGAGTGTAAATTATTACTACTTTAATCTCTGTGGAGTGGACGTGCACACCCGTTTCATTGCGGCGCGCTCAGTATCAGGTAGACCATCGTGGAAATGCTTGACATTTTAGTGCTCGTGGTGTTACATGTTCTATGCAAGGGTTTATTGGGCGGCATATTTCGCGACTACGGCTCCTGTGGGTAATCGGACCCTATGGTACAGACGTTGTACGCGGCATATACGATTTGTATTCGGCTGCGGATGTATGGTAATGAATCCCGGTTTCGCATTGCCAACGCAGTTACCCCCTTAGTCGGGCAGAATTTAGGTGCAAATCAGATAGAACGTGCTGAGAGATCCACACGGGTGGCGAACCTTTTAGGTGCTGCGATCATGGCAGTCGTCGGCGCAGTTTTCTTCCTTTTTCCAGAGGCATTCATCCGGATTTTCACACCGGAAACGGATGTTATCAAGATCGGAGGTTTATCTACAGTTTCTGTCCCCGACATTCGGATTCATCGCCTTTTCGCTCATCTTAGGAAGAGCACTCAACGGTGCCGGAGATACCTTCTCTCCGATGGTGATTACACTCGCGGCACAGGTAGGCATCGGTTTGGGACTCGTGGTTTTACTTTCGCACTTCATGGGACTGAATGGCGTTTGGTTAGGGATTGCCCTCTCAAACGTTGTTCAAGGTATCGCGATGTGGCTTTGGTACAGTACTGGTAGGTGGAAGGCAATAAAAATTCTTAAAAAGAAACCAAAAGTAGCGTAGGACACAGCACAGCAACGTATCCTACAAAAAATTCAAAAGGAGTTGACGAATGATGGAAACCTACAAAGGTTACGAAAATCCACAACTGTTATCTCTGCTGAGGAATTGAAAGGCACACTCGACGATCAAACGTTCTGCATCGTCGATACGCGACCGACTTATGAATATATTCGAGGACACATCCCCGGTGCGCTTCATTTAGATTTGTTCGGTTTAAGCCTAATCGATACTCGGAAAGAGACGTATGACACCTTTATGTGGATGATAGCATACCTGTTTCAGCAACGCGGTCTTGATGCGAGAAAACCGATTGTATGGTATGAAGACATTTCGGGAACGCGCGCGTCCCGAGGGTTTTGGTTTTGTGAGTACTTAGGGCATCCAGAAACCCGTTTATTAGATGGTGGTTTCAAGGCGTGGCTATCGGCAGATGGACCTATTAGTACAGCGGGTGCTGAACCACCGGAAGTGCCGCCTTTTCCCATAAATGCTCAACGCGATATACACATGGATGCCGATGTGATTCGGGTCCTGTTAAACCGAAGCGACTTTATCCCTCTCGATACGCGCACCGACGACGAACACTACGGTAGGGTCGCCCGTGCAGAGCGTGCAGGTGCTATCCCCGGCTCTATTCACATTGAATGGCTCAATAATCTGGACGAAGCGGGTGCGTTCAAACCTGCTGACGAACTCCGGGAGATGTATGAAGCCGTTGGTATTACACCCGACAAGCAGGTTATGTGCTACTGACAGGGTGGCTACCGCTCTTCCCAAGCCTATTTGGCGTTGCGGCTCTTGGGTTATCCAAAAGTGAGCAACTACATAGGCTCGTGGAAAGAGTGGGGTGACCGGCTGGATCTGCCGGTCGAGATTCCGCAAGTTTAGCGGTTTACGATACGCAGTACGTGCTTATTACTTTAGCAACTTCAACTGGACACTCATGCGGTAGGTAATGCCCGGCGTTGGGTATCCATACCCACTGAATATTCGGATTGGGCGGAATGCGCAACTTCTGCACAGTTAAATCATTCCGTCCCAGACCGCCAAAGACTTCACAGATAGAGATGCGTGCCTGCTCAAGGTAGACGTAGGCATCAAAATTTTCGACAGACTCCCAGAAATTGTGCCAGATTTCGGACTTAAAGCGGCTTCGTGTTTCTTTTGCTTTCTGCTGAATCCGCGCGACAGCAATTTGGGAAAGTGAACCGTAAAACCGTCCAGCGTTGAAAGCACTCCCCGCAGATGAAAGGCTTGTCCATCCTTCCAGCAGCACAAGCCCAACAATACGCGATGAACGTCGAGCGACTTCCATTCCTACCATGCCGCCAAGGCTGTGCCCAACGATCTCTATGTTTTGAATTCCCAAATGGTCTGCGAGGTACAACACATCATCAGCAAGGCTACCTAACGTGAATGTTTTTGTAGGGACAGCACTCCGTCCATGTCCACGAAAATCAAGAGCGATGCAACGCTGCTCACATGGCAATTTTTCAATCACCGATGTCCAATCAGACGCGCCACATCCAGTGCCGTGTAAGAAGAGCAGTGGATGTCCCGATTCTCCTGAATCACGATAAGCCATCTCCCCCCAACAGGTCCCGATTGTTGTCATAGCAGTGTGGTTCCAATAGGAAGTGGCTCCTACATAACAGGATTCTACGTTGCTAAATTCCAGATTTGCGCCGCTGTTCCACCCAAGATTCGTTCCCGATCATCATCTGTCAGGAATGGAAGTTCTTCCTGAATGAGTTGGAGTTCCTGCTCCAAGAGAGCCAGTTGTGCTTTTGCCTGTGGTGACCCGGGGTAGCCTGTCCCCCATACCGTCCGTTCCGCACCGAAAGCCGATAGCAACTTCTCAATAACGGATGCACGTCTGGGTAAGGAAATCTTGGTGCGAACGTCAGCGACATCCGATAGTTTCAAGTGGACGTTGTCATAAGCGTGCGAGTTCCACGATGGGTTGAAACGCCGCTTCCTCTGCCTCCACTGTGGGTACCCCATGTGATCAAGAATAAGTCTCAGACGGGGATACCGTTGTGCAATGACAGCGACCTGATCAGCAAATTCAGCACGCAGGTGAAATTGGATGATGGCATCCAACGCTGCGATCTCTTCCCACATCGGTCCATTCTGTCGGTTAGCAAAATCTTTTCATCGGGGTAGTACATCGGATGGAAGCGGAAACCCACCAAACCTCGCTCTTGTATCCATAGCGGACCTGCTCCACATTGTTGGGGTCTTGTGGATCGATTAAGCCGTGTCCGATAAAACCGATCTGGAAAACGCGCGACCGAATCCGCTATGTAGCCGTTATCCCAGTGGACCAACTCGTCTGCACGAGCACTGTCCAGTCTACACCGTGCACGTCCATCTCTGCTAAGAGTTCATCGGCAGTACCGGGTTCATCCGGATAGGAATTCCAACTCGGTGCGGTGGGACCGACAGGATACTTCGGGGGATCAATCTTCCCAGACATGAACATGGGTATCAACAATCATGGAAATCTCCTCAACACATTACGTTTAGAACAGAAACTGGGCATCCACTGTTTCGCCAGGCACCTAACGTTACCCCGGCTGGGAATCGTGATTAAGCCGTTTGCCAAGACAAGCGAATGCAGAATGCCTGAACCCTGTGGGTCCTGTCGTTTCGGCAGTGTACTGTCCATTAGACGCTTTGAGAATTGCGCGCATATAATTAACGCGTCCGTCTCTATTGGTAACGGGTTCAGCTAAAGTGGCTTTGAAGGTCGGACGCCAACAGTTCTGTATGTCCCGCCATTTTGAGGAGCGCGGGTCGCACGAAGAGTTCAAACACAACGAGCGAAGAGACCGGATTGCCGGCAATCCAAAATAGGTTTTCCGTCCGAAATGCCGTAAGGCCTGCGGTTTTCCCGGGCTTCATCGCGACGCGCCAGAAGTTAATCTTTCCCAATCTCGCCAATACACTTTTGACTACGTCGTGCTCCCCTACCGAAACACCACCGCTTGTAATCAAGGCATCAGCCTTCGCGAGTGCGGCACGAAAGATGCGCTCTGTTTCTACCTCATCATCAGGAGCGATACCCATATCAATCGGTATGCCGCCTGCTTCCTCGACCTGTGCGTAGAGACCGTAACGGTTGCTATCTCGAATTTTTCCCGGTTCAAGCGGTTCACCGAGTGGCGTGAGTTCATCACCCGTCGAGACAATCGCAACGGTAGGTTTGCGATAGACTGTGACCTCTGGGCAATTAAGAGAGGCGAGCATTGAAACTTCTGGCGGACGTAGGTATTTCCCTTTTCCCATTACCTGTTGCTCCTTCGCGACACTCTCACCGGTGAAACGGACGTTCCCAGTTTTGTCAACTCCCTCAAAAATCTTGACTTCATCCCCATCTCGCTGGGTCACCTCTTGCATCACAACCGCATCGGCACCCTCAGGCATCATTGCCCCGGTCATGATACGCGAAGTTTGCCCAGGGGCAACCTGTTTTGTTGGGGCATATCCTGCGGCAATTGTCTCAACGACTGTGAGAACAGCAGGCTTCGTTTCGGAAGCGTTCTGGACATCCGCTGCGCGAACCGCGAACCCATCCATCGCTGAATTGTCAAACGGAGGGATATTCTCCTCCGCATGCAGTGCCTCTGCGAGAACGTAGCCAGCACAATTTAGAATTTCCCGTTTTTCCGTGGGCAAAACCGGAATAGTATTCAGCATCTGTTGGCGGGCTTCTTCAACACTTAGCATCTAATTTTCTCTCCTTTGCATAGTCTCATATCCAATATCATAAAGCATCACGCCGATAAGTGCAAGCCCATTAATTTTGACCTTCCAGTCGAGGCATCTTCATTGTATGAGCGATCCTTTAGTAGCGATACTTACTGACTGCTAATGGCTGACTGCTTCTTTTCAAGTTTATTTGACATCGACACAAGCGTATGATATAATTTATCGCAAGTTTATTGGTAATTTTACTTTTAATAATAACACAGGCATGGGTTATGAGAAACGGCACGACCTTCCCAAACACGCTAATATTTGGGCGTAGTTTGAAAACCGGCATTTTAATAAGTTTATGTTGCTATGTTGCGCTGCTGGGTGTCATCGCACTAACACACGATCATACCGAACACTCCCACTCTGCGAATACCTGTACAGCCTGTTTCTACAACAGCCAGCACGCCGGAGAGGAAGCTGAGTCCTTTGCACTCACCTCTCCGTTCCTTCCGAGTACCACACTCCCACTTTATGAAGCCGTTTTTCTTCCCTTAAGACTTACCGCGAACGCGCGGAGTCGTGCTCCACCTGTATTCTCCAATGAACTTCCAGATTTTGCTTGAAGGCAGAATCTGTTTCTATTTTATATTACTATGTTGTCCAAAGGGTTCGGACGCACCTACACTCGCCCTCCCTTTGTACACCTCTGCTTTGCAAGATACGGCTCCGTATGAATGGTATCTCTTTCGGGGACCTATGAGATCCCCATTGCCTAAAAATGCATGAGATGCCACGGCATGCGAATGCGTGTTTTACACCGTTCGCGTGCATGCCATCTGTTTGTTAAGAGCAATTCATTTTACAAAGTAATAGGGTCTTTAGAAAGCCCACACGCGGCTTTTTCCCGCCGTGTGCCATCAGATAAATAGGAGAATACAATGTTTACGCACTTTTTTGGGCACGATGTGTCTGTTACCATTTCTCGATTAATGTTACTGAGTGTTGTTGCCATCCTCCCCTTTGTTGGAGGTTGTGGTGAAGATGATAACCCTATTGTTGATGATCACGACGAAGAAGAGACACAAGATCATGCGGACGCTGATGGCTTTGCCTTAGAAGTCGACGGAGCGGAGGTTTATCGCCAACTTCAAGGCACCGATAGCGGCGGTCTTACCGTTGGAGCTGGTAAAGAGATTGAGGTCCATGTCGCATTTCTTGACGCAAGCGGCGCGGAAATCCACGTTGGCGAAGCGGAGGAAGACGAACATGGAGATGATGAAGAGGAGACTTTCACTTTGGGTTTGTCGGATTACGATCCCGCTGTTATTGGCATCCATTTGTCTGAAGACGGAGAGGAACACGCTGAAGACGAACACGGAGACGCAGAGCAGTGGCGGTTTGAAGTCGTTGGACTGAAAGTAGGTACAACGAAAATCAGACTCCAACTTCTTCACGGAGATCATCCTGATTTCACGGCGGCACTTCTGATACCAGTAACTGTCCAATGAGGAGAAATCTCCATGCGAGTTATTGAACAGCCAAGCACTTGTGCTTTTCTGCCCAAACCTGTTTTGGTAGGTACGCTTTTTAAGTACACCTACCTATTCGCAGCGATGGGAGTGGCGTTTCTGTTCTGTGATATAAACAATGCTCAGAGCGATCAGGTTTCGACGCACATACTGCACGGGGAGGTCATTGACGCACAGAGGCACTCCCGACTCGCGGGGGTCGTCGTCTATATCGCTGGGATTGAGAAGAGTACCCGTACTGACGAAAACGGTCAGTTTCAATTCGATACCGTGCCAGAAGGCAAACATACGCTTCAATTCACGAAAACCGACTATCAGCAGCTTGAACAGGTGATTGATGTCAATGCCTCCACCCCTTATGTCCAGACCGAATTGAAGGCGTTAGTGTATCAATTAGGAACAATTAAGGTGTCTGATGCAACCGGGGACCTCGCTAAATTTGAGAAAACAACCGATTTAGCACTTCAGGACGCAGAACTCCAAAAAAAAATGGGTATGACGTTGGCGGATACGTTGTCAGATGAAACCGGCATCTCACAACGGTCGATGGGGCGGGCAGCAGCGCGGCCTGTCATTCGGGGATTGGGTGGTGATAGACTACTCATTCTTGAAAACGGTGCGCGTACAGGCGACAAATCCGCCTCCAGTGCCGACCATGCCGTATCAATTGACCCAACGACTGCTGAAGGTGTTGAAATTACGCGTGGTCCCGGAGCACTCATTTATGGCTCAAGTACTCTGGGCGGCGTCATCAATGTCAAACGCAACAACATTCCCGAAGTTCTACCAAAGCACCCTGATATGAACCTAATGTTCCAAGGCGAATCTGTGAATTCAGGATGGACAGCAACAACCGGTTTTGTTGTACCACTTGGGCCCTTTGTAGGGCAACTCAAATGGAACCGTCGACTTGCCGCAGATACACAAACACCAATTGGAACATTGAAAAATACCAGCCTCTCCAGCGTCAATTTTTCAACAGGTGCCTCACTCATCAAAGATTGGGGTTATATTGGCGCCTCAGGTGGTAGCTACCGTTCAGATTACGGCATCCCCGGTTCCCCCGAAGGACATATCAGCGGTGTTAACATCGCACTGGACCGGCAACGCTACGAAGGACAGATGGAGTATCGTTTTAACCGTCCATGGATTGATAAAGTTAAGCTCCAAACCGTCTACACGAGTTATCAACATCAGGAGTTAGAGTCAAACGGCACGCTCGGCGTGGAATTCGGCGTGCTAACCTACAACTTCTCGGCGATGGCACATGTGTTAGACAACGCCATCATGGGGATCTGGGGTGAGTATCGCGACCATGCCACAGGCGGGTTTTACTGGACCCCACATACACGCGAGTTTGCCCTTGCGGGTTTCTATCTCAATCAGCGAGATTTCGACCGTCTCACCTTACAAGGCGCAATCCGCTACGATATTAGACGGGCAGAGCCTTTTAGAGATGATGGCACGGTCATCCGCGCCGGAACGGTGCAACGGCGTGACTTCAATGGCGTATCGGGTGCCGCCTCTGGTATTTATCATTGGACAGACAGAGTGAGTACCGGCACGACTATCATGAAAACGTTTCGCGCGCCCGGTATAGAGGAACTTTTTAGCGACGGACCGCACTTAGCAGCGTACTCCTACGAAATTGGCAATGTAGAACTGGAACCTGAGAATGGGTACGGCATCGAGGCGTTGGACGTTACGCAATGGACAGATTCAACCTAAACCTCACCCTCTTCCAGAATCACATACACGGTTATCTCACGCCGACCAATACAGGAGAAAAAGAGTGGGGAAGTGGCACTGCCGGATGGTTGTGGATTTACCAATATACCGAACAGGATGTTGTAATGAATGGTGCAGAGATCCGGATTGACGGCGAAGTTTTACCGCACTTCCGCCTCCAGCTCAATATGAGTTACGTCAACGGAACGGTTGAAGCCAACGGCAAACCGTTGGAACGCATCCCACCTCTGAACGGTAAATTCGTCTTCAGCTACGCACCCTCCCCTTTCCATTTCCACGTGACCTCCCGTTTCGCGGGGAGCCAAACCCGACTCGGCAAATTTGAGGAACCCACGGACGGCTATCTCGTCCATGATGTCGGCGGTTATCTCAATTTCTCGTGGTGGCAGCTTGAGAATATGGCGGTTTTTGAAGTCGAAAACCTCTTCGACACGGCATACCGTGAACACCTATCCCTTATCAAAGCAGTGATGCCGGAGCCGGGACGGAACGTGAAGTTTTTGTACAAACTTAATTTTTAGTGGTGTTATCGGTATCCTGTTTTGATCACTCCCCATGTGGTCGTCAACTTTCCGGAGGCATCAACTGGAGAGGGTTGCAGTTGCGACTGTTTAAGTTCCTCGGCGGTCAACGGACGATTCCACACCTTCACTTCATCAATCAATCCTTTGTAAAATCGATTCAGATGCTCTCCGACCCAAATCGACTGCCCGCTGTCGATGTCCTGTGTTTTATCATCGGCTTCACCAATCAACTCACCGTCCACGTAGAATCGGATCTTTTTTGCTTTCTGGTCTCGGACACCAGCGAGGACATGCCATTCGTCATCGTTTAGGAAATCCACAGACCTTATCCCAGCACTATTCGCACGCCCCTTATCCCGGACACTGAAACCCATCTTGCCACGAGCCGCTGCGTCATCGCCGCTGACGGAGAGTATCCAAACCGCATCAGTGCCCGGACGATAGTTCCCGACAATCCCATCATTATTTGGCGGCTCATCATCTGTTTTTACCCACACTTGGACTGTTAATGAATCACCAGTGGAAAAGGTAATCGAATCTTCGAGTGGTACTTCAACAAAGTCATCCTTGCCATCAAACTCCAACGCTTCGCCGTACTTTCCGGCGACCATCTTTGCGGCACCGTTAATCGTTCCATCATTGCCTTCTTCAGACTGATCCTTTCACGGTATCGGCTTGAATAGTGTTTTTATCGAAACTCAGATGCAGCACTAATCCGTCCGGCGGATTGGCTTTACTACACGGTGCAAAACTGATGAGTATACCAGTCACCGCGAAAACCACAAAAACGCTTTTCATGATAACTCCTTTTGAGAGGTTAACGAAAAATAAAAGGGTTTTGGCTAAATAATGGTTTGGGAACCAGCGAAAATACTCTTAACCGCGCGCCATTACATCAATTGCAAAGATGATAGCAGATTTGACGAAAAGAGTCAAAAAAGTTTTTATTTGAGATTACATCTGAGAAACGACAACTGTGCTGCAGTAAAAAACAGGACATTAAAAAGAATCAGCAGTCCGGTAGGAAAAAAGACTCTTTGATACGATATACGCTCTTCAAACCTCGGCACAGCGTTCGGATCCACGGGTTTCTGAGACAAGCCTTCTCGTACAGGGTAGATATGGAGGCTGTCCGGGTCCCTCTTATCCTCCGTCTCGATGAAATCTATAAACGTCTGTCTATAACGGCGAACCTGCTTAACAAAATCCATATAACTGACGATCCCGGTGTTTGCGAGTCCTTCCATCGCATATTGAAAGCACACTATCGGGGAGATCAGGGTGAGTTCGCGGGCAAGCCGTACTTGTCTCAATTGCTGGTCCACATGTTCATCGGCTATGCGTGTTTTGGTCTCGTGCCTTCTCGTAAAGTACGTCGCCCACCGGCGTGCTGCTGCTGGATTGTCAGGAGAGGGTGCTTAGGTTGACGCAGTAGATCGCCGCCACCGAAAGTTGTAGCGGGAGAGGCGTATGCGATAACGAGTCCCACAGTGAAACTCAACACCACGATCCGAAACAGAGATAACATACCTCCGAAGTATTTTCCAAGTACGAGCATGTCCCGCGGAACCGGATTGGATAACACGAGTTTTAGCGTGCCGTCCTCCCGCTCCCCCGAAATCGTATTGTAAGCGAACAGGATCGCCAAGGCACTGAGTACAATTTTGAAGACAAAAATGACATCGACGGAGAGGAAAATCGAGAGAAACGGGTTGTCCGAACCCTGTTTTTGAGCTTCTTTTTCCCAAATAGGTGTTGCGAGTCCAATGCTCATCATATCCGCACCGGATTTTTCCATACCGACATTAAAGATACTGAGCGGGTTCGGTTTTCTGTGTGCCTTCGGATTAATTTGGCTGTAGAGGTCCCATGTTCGCGCTTCTTCCTGATGTTCCCGAACGGCAACGTGATACGCCGCCAATCGCTGCGGATTGGAAGGCGTTTATAGCAAAATCCGAAAATGTGTGGACAGTTGTTCGGTGAATAAGATCCCCACCTCCGCTGGTGAGGATTGTATCCTCGCCCTCGCAATGTCCAAGTAATTGTATATTTTAGTATAGTTAAAAAGAGAATGATTTTCGGCAAAAAGGTTTAAAATGAAAATTTAGATTTCTGGGAATGTAAAAGACATCGAAATTTAAGCGTAGGTGTGCACGACTCAGAGAGAGTATAAACAGACTTAATGCGTAGTTTGGGATCTCACATAGGAATCCGCTCTCTCGAAGTCTTCAGGCGTATTGATGTTGAAAAAGGACATGCCCTCCGGATCAAATTCCCGCCAGACTTCAGGTGAAACGCGTTTTATGTGTGCACGTTCCTGCAGAGCATGGACACGCAATTCGGATTCCCGCAGCATCAGTTCTATGATAGACAAACAGCGTTTAGAATAAGCAGCGCACAACGTTTGGAGGGTTATCTGTGTATCGTCGCCGTAGGAGGGGTTTGTAACCCCGATGTCCTTGTTACGACAGAACGGAGTCTGTCTACTACTATAGGTATAAGGTATCACTGCGTCGTATTCACCCAAAACAGTCACAAGATAAGAGAGTAACTTCGGTTCTAAAAACGGACTATCGCATGCAACACAGAGGATAGCGTCATGCGAAGCGTGCGTCACACCGGTATAGACACCGCCCAACGCGCCGGCATCTGGAAGAATATCGCCGTGCATCGGCACATCAAGATGTGCGTATTCAGTAGGACTATTAGTGACAAGCAGGAGTTCGTCCGTGACATCGTGCAGGCAACGGATAACATGTCCGATGAGTGAATCGTCTCCGAGCCGCATCAATGCCTTATTCTCTCCCATCCGTCGACTCTTACCACCGGCGAGGATGACACCCGTGACTGGAGGTGGATTTTTATGCGCGTTCGATAACATCAACAATTAACTCACCTACCTGTTGTAAACTTTCCATATTGAGCAGGTCGCATCTATCCTGCTTTGAATGGATTTTTAGCGCGACACGTCCGACATCTCCCGCTGTCAACGTAACCGTTTCAAATCCGTGGCTTGCAATCGGAATGCTATCCAATCCAACACCGATCGGCAGATAACGTTCCGAAACCTGTATACCGAGCGACTCACCCGATGCCTGAAACAGGTCGGTTAATGCGTGCGTCGTCCGGACAGGTGGAATCCCGTAGCGTGTAACGACGTTAACGCTGTTCCCAACACCGAGTCCGTCTAAATTAATAACATAGGTATTTTTTTCGTCATATTCATCAGCATGTTTTTGGACATAGCGTAACGCACCGCACATACCGTACTCTTCTGCCCCAGCAGCGAGGAACGTAATAGGTTTTTTCTCGCCACGCGCCATTACTACACGTGCCACCTCAAGCATAACACCAACGCCAGAGGCATTATCAAAACCCCCAGGAGAGCGGTTCTGTGTCAAATTAATTTGTAAAAGCAGCAGACAAAAAGTAGTAACTCCGGCAACGCTCCAGACAATGGAATCGGGTAGCCAGACGAGAGTAATGGAATCGGGTAGCCAGACGACGGTGAGGACTTTAATCACCATTACAATTGTCAATACAATAAGCCCGACAATCGCTATGCCGTAAGCCACAGCCCGTACAGCAATCGGCAACACCTGTGACTTGGAGTCGTAATGTGCAACAAACAGCAACGCTGGGGTATTATCATTGGGTTTCCTACCGTTTGTTGCGATAATGTTCTCCGAACGATGCCTTCTACCGACATCATACAACCCTTCAAACCGTTTCTGCCACTGAGTAAAGAACATTGCTATAGAAAGACTCAGTAGACAGACAAGACATATAGGTATCGGAAACCGTTCACCGAACCACGGGACAGAAAGGACCACTGGAACGAAGAGACCGCAGAGGAGACGCGGTAACACTTCGGCGGGGAATTTCGTAAATGAGAACGGTTCCCATGAAACATCGAGTCCTAACACTCTGAATTGCTGGACGATATAGTCTTGCGCGTCTGTCTCACCCGCGCTGCCCACCAATCTTGGAATAGCGAGTCGCGTGATGTGATGATACGCATGCTTTGCGTCATAGGTATGGCTTGTATGCATAAGAGAGCTTATTCTGCTTCTTGGTTTCCGCGAAAACCCAGCCCGTAAGGTAAATTTAAAAAACAAGTTCCGACCGGAACCGACTCGCCAAACGTCCGCTGAGTGTTCGGGCGATCTCGCGTTCCGACTCGGCGATGTTGTGCAGTTCTGACGGATCGTTTTCCAAATCGTATAATTCCGTTACATCGTTGTAGTTTTCGATGAGCTTATGCGTTGCCGTACGAATACACCGGAAGTTTCGAAGGGCACTCACAGTTTCAGTGTGATGCGTTTCGGTTTCACCATGAAGGACAGGTGCAATAGACTTGGCATCAATGCGCGGCAGCACAGGCACCCCCGCTAACTCGCATATCGTCGGATTCAGATCGATTAACTCAACCAAACTGTCCGAAATTTGATTCTTGGGAATGTCGGGTCCAGCAACGAGCAGTGGGACTCTGAGCGACGCTTCATACGCGACACTCTTGGTGTAAAGTCCGTGGTCACCGAGCATTTCTCCGTGGTCGCTTGAATAAATGATATAGGTATTATCCAGCATTCCGCGTTGTTCAAGTGCGCGAAGCATTTCTCCGATTTGTGCATCAATCAGTTCCGTCGCAGCGCAGTACTGTTGTCGCGTTAAGGTAACCTCCTCAGGACTGATATCGACGAGGCGTCGTTTCACCCATCCAGGCTTTCCTTCCATATCGTCAACGATAGCCGGAGGCATCTCTGCATTTCTATACTTGTCCCATACTCTGTGGGTGGATCGAAGGGATCATGCGGTCCGACGAAACTCACGAACATATGCCATGGAAAATCATCAGGTATATTCTCAATAAATTCAGTTGCCCGTCTGCCGATATAGGTATCGGCGAAATCTTCTGTTGAGAGGACAGAATCGTGAGAACCGCCTTTAATCCAACCGCCGCTACTGCGTTTCTGATAATCTTCGTGGAACGCCTTGAGCATACCTTTCTCCTGAAGGTAATGCGTATAAGGACCGATAGGCGTTGCTGAGCTTCCAGCGTGCATTTTGCCTTCACACTCTTCTGGATGTGTGAATCCCCAGCTGTAGGTGCGTGGACGATCACCGTAGCGTCCGTTATAGCCATCGGGCTTGGCAAGATCGAGTTTACCGACACACCCAACGCGATAACCGTGGTCGCGGAGTTGCTGATAGTAGGTCGGCACGGTGGCGGGCAGGAAACTCCCGTTGTCTACTGCCCCAACCCGAGAGGGTTGTAAACCGGAGGCAAGTGCAATTCGCGATGGCGCACAGACAGGTGCATTCACTGTGCAGTTTGGAGAAACTCACACCCGCTTCCGCCAACCGTCGCAGGTTAGGGGTATTGAGGGCAGTGGGGGCATTCTCAGCAGTTTCGAGATAATCGTATCGGTGCTGATCAGACATGATAAAGAGAACATTAGGTCTATCGGTTTTTCGGATCATTTTTCCTCCATACCACACATAAATATTTCCAATTCCGATTCCAAAAACCTGTCATCTCACATCTTAATTCACAACGACATAAATAGCTTCACCAATGTCTTGAATGAAATCAATTATTCTCTCTGTGTCAGAAGGGGAGATGGCAAATCGGTTCCCACCAGGTATACGTGAATCCAAGTCTGCCTCATGCGCAATCTGATTTCGCCTGTCAACAATGAGCTGGAGCTCCGTTTTCACGTCCTCAACCTCTAAGTTCAGCTCCGAAGCAACAGAGATCCACAACGTGCAAGGAGAAAAAATCCGGATTGCGTCTGCTATCCTGTCCGGGTGTTGAAAAGCGAGATACCCATGCTTTTTGCGAATTTCTTCATCAAGCCATCCATCGTTCGCTTGCCCTGCGGCAATCCCCTGTAGTGTTGCTTCCATTGTAACCTGAAAACGTAGAAAAGTAGGAGTCTGGGGACGTTTGCCGCCATAAACTTCCAACATGCCGACACGAGTGATCTCATGTACGTAGTGGTCCATGGCACTGACAACCATAACGATTTGCGATCGTAACAGGTCTGCCAAATCCAGAGCAGAGGTTGTCTGCTGACTGAGTACATCATATAATCCGCCGAGGGCTTGAACTCGTTTAATATTTTCACGAAATTGTTGAAGGATACTAAGCATTTTCAACGAGCATCATTATCCGGTCAGCTCCCTCAGAATATAGTTCACGGAAACGGTGCATGGATTCTTTGGTTTGCTCAAGTACTATTCCATCACGTTCAAGTTGAGCATCCGTCAGATCAAAAATTGGTGCCTTATGTTTTTGTGAGAGCGCAATGAGACTATTGAAATCCGGCATCTGAAGGAGCGGTTTCCCTAAAGCATCATCTGGAAACAAACTAATTTGATCAAATTGAGTCCACTTTACTTTCTGGTACAACTCCATAGGAAGTAACATGTGATTTTCTCTTAAGACAGGTATAAGCTTCTGCTTGGTTGCTACTCCTATCGCGTCAATCCAAGCTTTGAAGGCAGCAGCAGGCTTTGTTCCTTGCTTAACTGGGTATTTTTGAATGATTGTTCCAAGAAACTTAGGAATCTTATCCGGGAAAGGATAAGTTGCCTCTCTTAGAATTGGTAGTGCTCTACCTTGTTTTGCCCAGGCCGACCACTGAGACAAAATTGAAGCAAGACTCTCCGTCGCCATCATAGAGAAATAGTCCGGAAACATTGGGACGATGAAATAGTCGCTCGTCATTAGCAAATTTCGGTTTATCGGGCCTAAGCTAGGCCCCATGTCCACTAAAATGAAATCAATTTCGTATTTTTTGGCGGTTTTCGTAAAGAGATAGTGGAGGGAACCCGGCAAGTTCTGGAGGCTTACCAGTGAACTTGACAGTTCCTGTGCCATACCCAAGACGACTTCGTATTCAGCAAATCCAATATGCCCCGGTAATAGATACATGTTGGGTTGCCCTTTGACTGGCTCACAGACGACAGCTTCAAGGGGGACTGGACGAGATTCAAAAGCGGGGGCGAGACCGTCGCGGATATTACGTACCTTCCCTGATTTCGACTCGTAGATTGCAGCAAACGCCTCGGTATCCCTGAATCCGAGTACCATGCCTGTTAGATTACACTGTGGGTCGCAATCGACAATCATAACCCTCTTGCCCTTATGTGCCAGCATCCATCCGAGGTTGAAGGTAGTCGTTGTCTTACTGACACCGCCTTTGTGATTGAAAAGTGCAATTTGTTTCGTCATGTGATGTCCTCTTAGCCCATCAATACAGTTATCCTATTTTGTTGTCTAAATTATACATTAGAGCGTGTTGATTTTCAACTAAAAAATCGCACCAAAACACACGCAAATTTCTTGCCAAAATCTACTGCGTATGTTATTATATTTCCATAATTCTCAAAAAGGAGACTCGTATGGCAGTTTTTTTACATACACGGGTTCGCGTCAGCGACCTTGACGATTCTATCGACTGGTATTGTGACCACTTGGGGTTTAAAGTCCTGAGTCGGAGCGATAAATCTCCGGCAGGCAACCAGATCGTACACCTCGAACTCCCCGGGGAACGCGCACACGTTGGAGTTGACCTATTCACCGGACTTTGAGCTTCAGGTTCAAGAGGATCTGATGCACTTTGCTATCGGTGTCCCGGATATTGTTGAATGTTGCGACGGTTTAGAGAAAGCTGGATTGGAAATTTGGCCCGATGAATGGCGAAATCAATTCACATCTGGCGGTATGAAAATGGCATTCATCACCGATCCGGACGGCTACGAGGTCGAAATCTTAGAACGCGCAGATGCCTCTGGCGATCCGCTTGACGTTCTTGACGAATCTTAGGCATAGGGCCAGAACTGGTTCCACGCTGTCAGCCAATCTTTTGCCCGGCTTTCAACGGTAACGGGACCTGTTATCTCAAGCCCTGGTCGCCCCTTGAATTCTGCGAGTTTATCAACGCTTGAGAGTTCAATTTTGATTGTTGTTGGAGCATCAGGGATGTAAGGCTTAACACGCGTTAGATCGGTGAGTGCCTCTCTCGCTGCGTCTTCGATTAATTGGCGGGCTCTGACGGGTGGGAGTTGTCGTGCGCTAAATCGACTTAACCCCTGTTTAACAGCGGCTGTGGGCAGTGCGTCGCCGAGGAGTTCTTTGGCTTCTCGGCAGACTGCCGCATCGCCTGTAACAAGTGCGACAGGAACGCCGTAGCACCCGTTGAGTGCGGCGTTCACCCCAGTTTCACCGACAAGGTCGTCGTTGAACCAGAGGTTCCGGTATTGAACGCTGGAAATGGTATGGCAGAGAACACCATCAGGCGTGCCATTTCGGGCATGCATACCGATGAGTAAGCATGCATCACAACCGTTTTTCCACATATCTTCGTAGCGTCCCCAACCGTGATGCGCTACCCACTCACAATCCGGGTGAATTTTTTCAGGAATAAGCGAATTAAAAGTCCAACCTTGTCCTGCACCGTGGCAATCCACGACGACGATTTCCGTTGCACCAGCGGCTTTCGCACCACGCACGGCAGCGTTAATCTCCTCCGTGTAGAGATGTCTCCCTTCCTCAAACATCGCCGCACCCCCGTTCACTTGATCCCATACGACGATGCCGCTGACACCTTCCATATCAGACATGATGAGTACACGCATTTTTCTGCTCCGTTTCCATAGGTTTTCCACTCAGTATAAGCCACCCCCGTTAAAATGCAAGTGAAAAATCAGACGTGTCCCTACGCATCCACATACATTTTAGAGGCGCGTTGCGACCGGAAGGTCGTTCCACAGAGAAGGGAGTTCGATCAAGTAGTCGAAACTATACGCGAACCGTGGTAGATTTCACAATGTGAAAGAGCGAGGTTGGGGCACCTCGCCAGCGAAGAGGGGAAGATGAAGGATTTTCAAGTTGCTCGGTGCAGAGTAGATGTAAAATTTCTCCCATCGAGATCGAGAGAACCGAAAACTGAAAACGAAATTGTATTGTTGGAAATCACAAAATTAGTGTGCACGCTTCATTTTAGCCCATTGTGTCACTAATTTTCCGGTAGGTTCAACAGGCAGAGAACCCGGCGTGCCACCGAGAGGTGAATTCGGCATCCACCCCGACGTACATTCCCCACCCACCAGCACGCTCACTGACCTTCACCATCAACAGATTACTACCGCTTTTGAGATTAACATCGAACGTATCTTGGAAGGTGTTCGCATCGCCACGCCCGCGGTTCATCGGGTTGGTATGAACGACTTCACCGTTGAACCAAACCTTGATAGAGTCATCGCTGTTGACGCCCATCGTAACGTTACGCTGAGCTTTCGTAGTTCTAAGGGTAATCAAAGCGTAGGACGTAAAATCGTCCACGTCGGCGACGTTTGTCATACCTATTGACACGACTGTTGCGTTGATGTTTCCGTCTGCAGAGAGGGTGCCGAGCGTCCACTTATAATCGCCGACGGTATCGCCTTTTCTCGCGCCGTTTTTAGCGATTTCCTCTTCGGTAACTTTGCCTCCGCTGGCATCATCGAGAGAATCAACATTGGTAGAATTGGCACCGCCTTGATTGGCATCGGTTGGTGCGATCATCCAGAGCCAAGGTCCGGTAATGCGCCTATTTGCTCCCCACTCAGATGCTCCTTTTGCAACGGGGCCACCGTCATCGCGTTCGTAATCATCAAAGTTTAGGCTGTGCTCGAAATCTGCATCGATGCCGACGTTCATGCCCCAAGCGCCACCTCGCTCACTGACTTTGACCATCAAAAGATTCGCCCCTTCTTTCAGGTTAACCTGGAACTCATCTTGGAACTCATCTGGTCCTCCACGTCCGCGGTTGACTGCGTTGGTATGAACGACTTCACCGTTGAGCCAGACTTTGATAGAGTCATCGCTGCTGACTTCCATCGTCACATCAGGTTGCACCCTGTCGGATTCGAGTATGATAAGGGAATAAGACGTGACATCGTTGAAATCAGCGATTTCTGTCATCCCTATATCTATGAGGAGCGCGTTGATGTCTCCGTTGGCAGGAAGTTCGCCCGGGGTCCATTTATAACCGCTGACGGTATCCCCTGCTTTCGCGCCATTTTTTAGCGACTTGTTCTTCGGTAGTTCTGCCTTTGCTGGCATCATTGAGAGAATCAATATTGGTAGAATCGGCACCGCCTTGGTTGAGTTCGGTTAGTGCGATCATCCAGAGCCAAGGACCGCTAATACGTTCTTGTGCGTGACCTGTATTAGCCATAACCAAAAAGTTCACCAGACATGCCAATCCCAGGACAAATAATTTTATGCGCATTTAATTATTGGATGTTCCTTTTATTGCTCGTTAGAGGGTTGTGAAAAAAGCACTTCACAATAATTTTAACCTATAAAGTCCACTAAATCAAGTCCAAATTTAAGAATGCTTGACATGGTCTGCCTATTGTGATATAATTTTGGTTGACTGTCGAAAAAAGTGAACCTGATAAGAAAACCCACTGATACACATCTTGATTTTGTTGATATGGATGCAATAAAAACAGAAGTCTACGATATTATAGAAGTTGCAATCCACGCCGCTGTTGCGGCGGGAGAGCTGGTTATATCCGAAGTACCCACTATTCCGTTTTCGCCCACCAAAACGCCTGAACACGGTGATATCGCCACCCCAATTGCATTAGGACTCGCAAAACAGGCACGGATGGCACCACGCAAAATAGCCGAGATAATTGTCACACACATCAATCTCGATGCCCATCCAACCATCCGCCAAATTGACATTGCCGGTGCAGGCTTTATTAATATCCACCTTTCCGACAACTGGCTCTATGACACACTCCAGGCAATCGCTACGATGCGGGAAACATACGGAACCTGCAACAAAGGAGAAGGGAAACAACTTCAGATTGAGTTCGTTAGTGCCAATCCGACGGGACCCCTTAACATTGTTAGTGGGCGCGCCGCCGCAGTTGGAGATACGCTTGTTAACCTTCTCAACGCCATAGGCTATAATGCAATACGTGAATTCTACGTCAACGATGCAGGTGGACAGGTCGAACGCCTCGGTGAATCAATAGATGTCCGCTACCGACAGGTACTCGGTGAAGACGGATTAGAAATTCCAGACGATGGGTATCACGGAGAGTATATCCGGGAGTTTGCACAAACTATCGTTGAGACAGAGGGTGATACGCATCTCCAACTTAAAACAGACGAACGGATAGCACTTTTCCGAGATAAAGGGATTGCACACATCTTAGGACAACAAAAAGCCTCTTTAGAACGTTTCGGTGTCAATTTTGATGTCTGGTCAAGTGAAAAAGCGATCCGAGAGAGTGGGAAACCGGAGGAAATTATCGAACTGTTCCGCGATAAAGCGTATCTCTACGAAGCGGAAGGCGCGACATGGTTTCGGATGACAGATTTTGGCGACGACAAGGATTGTGTCGTTGTCCGGAGCAACGGAGAATACACCTATTTTGTGCCAGATGCTGCCTATCACCGCGATAAGTTCGACAGAGGCTTTACCACAGTCATCGATCTGCTCGGGCCGGATCACCAAGGACATATCAGCCACCTCAAAAACTTTGTGCAAGCAATGGGTTTGCCTGACGACTGGCTTGAGGTCTTTATCATCCAACAGGTGAACCTCGTCGATGCAGGAGGCAAACGGGTAGATATGTCGAAACGCAGCGGACATTTTCTCACCCTCGATGCTCTTATTGATGAACTCGCAGCGACCGTCGGTGAGCAATTTGCAGTGGATGTCGCTCGCTATTTCTTCCTCATGCGTGCCAACAACACCCATCTCGACTTCAATATGGAATTGGCAATCACGCATGCCAGCGAAAACCCTGTCTTCTACATCCAATATGCCCATGCTCGGTGCTGTAGCATCTTCGAGCAGGGAGATGAACAAGGAATTACACCTAAACCTATTGAAGTAGTCTCTCTCAAACGACTCACAGAACCGATGGAACACGAATTAATCCGGAAATTAGCCGAATTCCCATCAGCCGTGCTCCTGAGTGCAGAGGCACGGGAAGCGCATCGCATTGTGCATTACCTATACGAACTCGCAGGGATTTTTCATCCGTACTACAACCAACACCGAGTACTTGATCCGGCAGACATGGAAAAAACGGACGCACGGCTCATTCTGATACAGAGCGTGCAAAGAGTGTTGAAAAACGGGCTAACGCTTTTAGGCATCTCTGCGCCTACCTCTATGTAAGCGGCACCGAGGCAGAGGTAGCCTGAAACCGCAAGACAGCGGACAATAGGAAAAATATGACCATAGATTATAGAAAAACCGATAAGGCGCACGTGTGGCACCCTCTATTTCAGCATCAACGCCTTGAGGAAACGCCGTTAGCCGTTTTTGAATCGGCACACGGAACAACTCTTGTAGACGCAGAAGGTCGTGAGTACTTAGATGCGTACTCGGCACTCTGGAACGTCAATGTTGGTTATGGAAGGCAGGAGATTGCAGACGCAGTCTATGCCCAGATACAGAAGTTACCTTACTATCCACACTCGCAGATTAACGTCCCTGCCACGGTATTAGCGGAGCAGCTCGCTGCATGTCTTCCGGGTGATTTGAACCATGTCTATTTTTGCAATAGCGGTTCGGAAGCAAATGAAACCGCCATCAAAATAGCACGCCAGTACGGCAGACAAACCTATCCGGGTGAGAATCGCTACAAGATTATCAGTCGGTATCGTGGTTATCACGGGTTTACGTACGGCGCATTGTCAGCAACAGGACAGGCACGCAGACGGAAGGCTTTTGAGCCACTCGTTCCAGGTTTTCTGCATGCGCATCCACCCTACTGCTACCGATGTCCACTTGGCTTAGACGTTTCTTCTTGCAGTATCGCGTGCGCTGATGAAATTGAACGGATAATTCAGTCGGAGGGACCCGAAACCGTGATCGGGGTCATCGCTGAGCCCATCATCGGGGGTGGTGGCGTGATTGTCCCGCCAGACGAATATCTCCCGAAATTGAGGCAAATTTGTGACGATTACGGCTTGCTCCTCATTCTCGATGAGGTGATCACCGGATTTGGACGCACCGGAAAGATGTTTGCATGTGAGCATTGGGATGTACAGCCTGACCTTATTACACTGGCAAAAGGTCTGACGAGTGGTTATCTACCTCTCGGTGCCTGTGTCGCCTCAACAGCGGTCTTTAACGCATTCCTTGGCGAATCCGATGAAAACAAAGAATTCTCCCAAGTCTGCACCTACGGCGGACATCCAGTGGCATGTGCCGCTGGTATTGCGAATCTCGAAATCCTCCAAAAGGAACGCCTCTGGGAAAACTCGGAAAAGGTAGGTGCGCATCTGCTCTCGAAATTAGAAACATTGCGTAACCTAACCATTGTCGGTGATGTCCGTGGCAAAGGGTTGATGATAGCCGTGGAATTCGTCCAAGCCGATGGCACGCATCTCGAAACAGCAACAACCAATCGAATCGTGGGGCAATTACGAGAAAAAAGCATCATCGTCGGGAAATCGGACATGCTATTGACGAACCGGAAAATATCATTTTCATCGCACCACCGCTGATTCTAACAGAAGCAGAGGCAGATAGAATTTTTGAGACGTTACGTCAAGTACTTGTCCAACAGAAGTTTTAACTCGTGCCGCTTCGCTGTCGGTATCTTGTCAGGCTGAGTAGCGAGTGCGTACTGAAGGGCGGTTGAACAGGCGCAGCTCCGTTGCTCCTCTGGGATTTTGGCGACAGCACTTCTCACGATCTTTTTAGAAGCCTCCACATTGGCATGGACATTGTCAAGAATCATCTCGGTGGTAACGTGATCGTGTTCGGGGTGCCAGCAATCATAATCGGTAGAGCATGCGAGGACAGCATAACAGATTTCTGCCTCGCGTGCTAATTTGGCTTCCTGTGCCGCTGTCATCCCGATAATGTCAAATCCGAGGGTCCGATATACGTTCGATTCCGCTTGTGTTGAAAACGCCGGTCCCTCCATACAGATGTAGGTGCCGCCGTTATGAGCGGTTGTGCCGACTTCGGTCGCCGCCGTGTATAAAAAGTCACTCAGGATCGAGCAGAAGGGATGTGCAAGGCTAATGTGTGCGGCAATGCCTTCACCGAAAAAGGTTGACTCCCGATGCTTAGTATGGTCATAGAGTTGATCTGGTACAACAAAATGGCGGGGTTCAATTTCTTGTTTTAGGCTCCCGACAGCACTGACAGCAATGAGCCATTCTACATCTAACGATTTTAAGGCATAAATATTAGCGCGGACATTAATTTCAGATGGAAGGATCCGGTGACCAACGCCGTGCCGGGGTAGGAAAACAACGGGTTTCCCATCAAGGTTGCCCAGAATAAGAGCATCGCTCGGTTTGCCGAACGGGGTTTCGACCGTGATTTCTTCGATATCTGTTAAGCCTTCCATCTGATAAAAACCGCTGCCGCCAATAATTCCGATACGCATTTTTTGTCCTTTCGTAAGGAGCGAATGAAGAATCCCTTTTAAGAATTTAAGAACGCTTTGCCAAACAGGCAAAACTTGCATTAATTTTTTTGACGTGGGGCCGTGAGGATTATTCGGGTCTTCAGTCGTTAACACGGGATATGATTTAATATGGCATTATTGAATTGTGGTAATTTAACACTTGAGGGAAAATCGAGTTCCGCCGTTGCGACTTACGTTCGAGTAAAAGAACTGGACCTCGTTTTCGATTTAGGCAGATGTCCGATGAATTTTATCGGCATCGGCAATGTCTTCATTTCCCATTTCCACCTCGATCACTACTTCGGGTTGCCTATCTATATCAGTCAACGTTGGCTTGCTGGCATACCGCCGGGGAACATCTACGTCCCCTGGAGCGGGTCTAAGCAACTGATGCACATTCTTGATAGGATCTCCACGTTGGATACCGGCAGGAGTTGGGCGTATCAAATCACGCCGGTTCGGGTAGGTGATGCGATTCCGTTTCGGCAAAATTTAATCGCTCACATTTTGCCAAGCGACCACAGTGTCCCATCTGTCTCTTATTTGATTTGTGAGGTACGCAAGAAACTAAAACCAGAGTTTCAGCATTTGCCAGGGCGTGACATCGCGAAACTGAAACATTCAGGGGTCGAGATAACGACAGAGGTGCAATTGCCATTAATCGCCTACTTAGGAGATACGCGGAGTATTCCCCTTGATGCACATCCATTACTCAAGCAGTGCAAAGTCCTGATTTGTGAATGCACATTCATTCTACCGGAGCATCGGGTGCGTGCGAAGAAGACAATGCATCTGCATCTTGAGATGTTACCCTCACTGTTGGCAGATATTGAGAGCGAATACATCGTCTTAACCCACTTCTCCCGCCGCTATACACCGGAACTTATCCGCCAAAAGGTTTTTAGCCACTTACCACCAGAGGAACGTTCTCGAGTTCAACTGTTTATCTAATACGAGGCGGCATTCTGCTCAGTCCCCGCTCGTTCCATGTAGAGATGTGTCGTCAGGAGTGCCCAGATAGGTGCTAATATCGCATGGATCAGCGTGATTACGCTTCCCTACCTGCGGGACAGGTTTCAAATAAGCCTCTAAAGCGTAACGTCGGATAGTGTATGTAGGGGCAAGTCCCCATGCCATCCATCTTCATGTATTTATGAACGATGAAAAATCACGGAGCCTCGCCCTACAGCACACGACCGATCACACTTCTACCAAAGCGGCATAGGGAAACCAAGATATAGGAAGGTGGTTTCCCTAAAAATTGGAATTACATGCCCATGCCGGGATGAGAATTAGCATCCTGGTCGGACGTTCCCGCTTCTTGTTCCTCGTAGAACTTGTATCCGTCGCTGTCCTGATCAAGTTCATACTGGCGTATAATCTGCTCTGCTTCGCGAAGATAGGGTGTATCTCCCTTCGTAATGCTCATATAGGCTTTGAACCCTTCATAAGCATCCCCGAATTCACGAATGGAACGATAGCAGACCGCCTGTTGGTACACGGCTTCGTTTCGCCATACAGACTCTGGGGCGTTCGTAAACAGATTGTTATATGCCGCAATCGCACGTTCGTACTCAGCGTTTTGTTGATAAAGGGTGCCGGTACGATATAGGGCATCTGCCGCGGCGAATTTCTTATGCGACAGGTCTCTCGCCAACGTCGTGTAAGCATTAATAGCACGGGGGAAGTTGCGAAGCTTCTCCCAGTTACCCGCAATCTGTTGGAAATTTTGAACGACCTGATCGGTCATACCCATCACCCACATATCAGCAGGGGTAATTTTCCGACCTGTCTTTTGGTATTCAACCGCTTTTTTATTGCGGAACTTATCAATTTCATCCATCAGAAACTTAATCTCTGTCAGGATTTCATTTGTCTGCTTCAGGAGCGTTCCAGCCTGCGAAGCTTCGTAAGAATCTGGAAACTTCTCGGCGACTGCAATAAAGGCGGGCCAACCCGCTTGATAATCGTGAAGGGTGTAAAAATAGACGTTACCGACCTGAAATTGCGCCTGTGGTGCCTGGGAATGCTCAGGAAATTCATCGACCATTCGCTCGTAATTGCGGATAGCTTCGGTATAATTTTCCAGACTTTCATAAGCACGAGCGACCTCGTAGAGTGCCCCTGCGGCGATGTTAAAGGTCTCATCTGTTGGCGAATCATTGTAAATAGCTTTATAGTTTTGGTATTCAGCCCGCTTCGTCTTAATAATCTCGCGATTCTTCCGAATATTTGCCGTACCACTCTTCGCTTCGTTTGCGTAATATCCGGTGGGATCTAACCCGATAATGGCTTCGTAATGCTCAGTCGCTTTATCCCAATCGTAGCGGCGCTTATAGATTTTGGAGATTTGGAAATGTGCACGCTGTGCCCATTTCCCTTTCGTATCGCGTTCAATGACCTCTGAATAGAGTGCTATCGCTCTATCATAAAGTTCCTGCTTTCTCTTGCGATTCTTCTCCATCTTTTCCGGGTCATCATTTTGGATATCCATGGTTTCTGCCTCGTCAAACGCAGTGTCGGCGTTCTGGAGCTTGGCACCGAGAGGAATAATGTTAAAGCCGCCTGGCCCGCACCCGCTAATCGTCACTGCGAGAAAAGCGAAGGCAAAGATGAGAAGATAGGTTCGATCTAATCGGAGACCGAAGCCGTATGTGAAACGGTTCATCGTGAGTCCTCCTTAGGAAAATAGAAATGTACCGGTATATTTTCAACCAAAAAATCTGACTAACCGGCTTCCGTTTATCGTTCTAAACATTATACTAAATTTTAAAAAAAAACAACTTTTTTTAATTTTTAAATTTCAATCAGGTTTGACCCTTGCCAAGATTGTGCTAAATCGGGAATGCACAGCAGGTCGAAATCCGAAAATTATACCTACAGGAAGAGACAAACGCAAACAGGAAAAACTTGACAAACATCTGTAAATATGTAAAAATTGCGTTTGCACAAAATGGTTAACATCCCAATGGCGGGATAACTTGTTCAACATAGACTTTCCATGTGAGGATCGGACATAGCAAGGAGGCAAATATGGCACATCCACAAAATAGGGCCGATTACAAAATTGGTGTTGTAGGGGTAGGTAGAATGGGCGCGAACATCGCCCGACATCTCAATGATGAAGGGTTTGATGTTACCGCTGTGTACGATGTCGCAAACGAACGCGCACAGGAACTCGCAGCAGAAATCGGTGCAACAGCAACAGGAGAACTCGCGAAGGTTACAGCACTCGCAGACTATATCATCACCGTGGTTACGGACGACGCAGCAATGCGGACAATTTTCTCGGACGATGCAGAGGACAGCCTGCTTCAAGGCGCATCCGGCAAAGTTTTTATTAATTGCGCAACGATTAGTCCCCAGGCCCACGTGGATACCGAGCAACTCGCGGCGAAGCATGGTGCGGAGAGTCTTGAAGGGTGTATGGCAAGTAGTATCACACAAGCACGGGAAGGCACACTCTACCTCATGTGCGGAGGTAAAAAGGAAACATTCGATAAGGCGCGCGCTATTCTGGATTCAATGAGTGTTTCGCTCCGTTACATCGGTGAAGCCGGTCAGGCGGCACAGGTGAAGGCACTCGTCAACATGGTGATGAATATCAATACGGCAGGTCTCGCTGAAGGACTCGGCTTAGGGGCAGCACTTGGATTAGATTTGGCAATGTTGCAAGAGGTCTTTTCACAAACAGGTGCAAACTCCCGTGTCTTGGAAACCGACGGAGAAGACATGGAGGCACGCGATCATGAGTGTTATTTCTCATCTGCCCATGCGTCCAAGGATTCAGGTATCGCGCTCGACTTAGCAAACGCCGCTGGTATTTCTCTCCCACTCGCTCAGGCAACGAAGGCACAGTACGATCGGATGATTGAACTCGGATTGGGCGACTTGGATAAGTCCGGTGTTGCTGAACTCACCTTCCCCGGACGAGGAGAAAAGAGTTAAGCCATGCTTAAAGGTGTAATCCTCGCAGGTGGACACGGCATCCGTTTGCATCCACTCACTAAAGTTACCAGTAAGCACCTCCTGCCTGTAGGTAACGAGCCGATGGTGTTTCACAGCGTCAAGCAGCTCACGACAGCAGGAATCACCGATATTCTTATCGTGACGAATCCTCAATACGTCGGAGACTTCGCGAACGTCTTGGGGGGCGGAAAAGATTTTGGATGTGAATTTACCTACCGGGTGCAGGAGGAAGCCAAAGGTATCGCGCATGCGCTTGCCCTTGCAGAAGGATTCGCCAGCGGTGGCAGAATCGTCGTTTTGTTAGGGGACAACATTTTTGAAACCTCTATTCAGCAAGCCGTTAACGACTTCCAAGCACAACAGCAAGGGGCTCGAGTCCTACTCAAACAGGTATCGGATCCAGAACGTTACGGCGTAGCGACGCTGAACGGGAGTTATATCGTTGCGATAGAAGAGAAACCGAAGCACCCGAAAAGTGATTACGCGGTGGTAGGTGTCTATTTCTATGATGCGTCCGTGTTCGACATCATCCGCACAGTTGAACCGTCAGCACGCGGGGAATACGAAATAACCGCTGTTAACAACGCCTATATTCAGCGCGGGGAACTTGAATACGGTCTTGTACAAGGAAAATGGGTTGATGCCGGAACTTTTGACTCACTCACCGAAGCGCATCAGATTCTGTTGAATTCCTCGGACTGGCAGTAAGTCACCGAAGTAGCATCTCCCCTCAAGCGGTGGGGGCCGAGCGTTTGTGGCGGTGGCTATAATTAGTATGATCGTAATCGTGATCAGGACGTGCCGCATTGATATCCAGGGCAACATTAGTCCAAAGCGCGTAGCCTGCAACAACGGCGCAGGCGGATTTAAGAAAGGCACGTCAAATGCCAATCTCACATCGTTTAACCGCAAGGAAAGTTAAAAAACCGATTCTATCCATCGTGGTCCCCGTTTACAACGAAGAAGAAAACGTCCGCCTGTTGTTTGAAAAAATCCAAACGATATGTGAGACAATTGGCGAAGCTTATGAGGTGTTGTTCGTAGACGATGGAAGTCACGATGAAACCTTCACGGTACTTTCGGAACTGAGCAAACAGAAACCGCAACTCGGAGTTATCCGATTCCAAAAGAATGCGGGGCAGACAGCAGCGATGGCGGCAGGATTTGAATGCGCGCAAGGACAACGGATTATCAGTATGGACGGTGATTTGCAAAACGATCCAGCCGATATTCCGAAACTGCTTGAAAAACTGGATGAAGGCTACGATTTGGTGTGTGGATGGCGAAAAGAACGACAGGATAAATTTTTGACGCGGCGTGTCCCGTCCATTGTTGCGAATTGGATAATCGGTAAGGTGACAGGGGTCCCTATCCACGACAACGGATGCTCACTCAAAGCGTACCGAGCCTCGGTTATCAAACAGGTGCCGCTCTATGGAGAGATGCACCGATTTATCCCCGCGATGTCTACAGTGGTAGGTGCGCGTATCGCTGAAATTGTCGTCACACATCACCCGCGACGTTTCGGAAAAAGTAAGTACGGACTTGGTAGAGTATGGCGCGTGATGCTGGACATTATCGCCTTCAAGTTTATCATTTCCGTCTTTGCGCCGCGTCCTAATCCACAAAAACCTCTGCGCAGGTCTCCTATAGAGGCTTGCGGGACAATGTGGCAGCGGTTGTCCAATATTCTTTTCAGGCCGAAACAGAGAGCATTCCGTGTTGCTGCGTTCCTAAGTCTCCCTTTCTTTGTTTTAGGACGTGTTTTGTTCGGAAATGCTAACATTGCAGCACTGAGTTGCTTCGGATCAGCGATAGCCCTACTAACACTTGGGTGGATAACTGAGAACAAAATTCGACACGCGAAAAAAGAGTCGTCCACGTTAGGCAGACTCGCACGTTTTTTTATCATTCAATGTAAACGGAGACCTATTCGGTTTTTAGGACCCATCGGCGTGGCTTTGTTCATACTCGGTGGGATCCTCTCAATCGCGCCGATCAACGCTCTTTTGCTGAAAATTTTGAACGTTGGATCATCGAACCCGAGTGCTATTTTTATCACCGGTGGAATTTTAGTATTCTGCTCCGGTTTGTTTGGTGAACTCATCACTTATGCCAACGCAAAGCGGGTGAAAGACTACACGATTCTTTAATTTTGCCTTGCGGTTCGGTGAGGTGGATTTTCATCTGTAACGTGCCTTTCCGTAGACCCGCCTGCGCCGATGTTGCAGGCTACATTTTTGGTGAGAAAAATAGATAAAGGGTTTCTCTTAAGATACTTCAAAATGGGTAGTCCGTAATGAAATGGAGGGCGGATATAAGCAACGCACCTAAAAGTCGAAACGGGCGTTGTTTCTCCGCAAGGAACAATTAAAAATGAATTTCCGGTAACCGAAACTTACATCTATATGAACCATGCGGGGGTTGCCCCATTATCGCGTCGGGTGCGGGACGCGATGACAGGATTTATAGAGGATGCGACTGTGAACGGTGCCGTGAACGCCGAGCAATGGGCGGAAACAGCCGAGGTATGTCGTGCAGCGGCAGCACAACTCATCAACGCCAACACTACGGAAATCGCGTTCATGAAGAATACAACACAAGGTATTCTCATCGCAGCCAACGGTATCGATTGGCGAAAAGGGGACAATGTTGTCACAACAGCAGTGGAGTTTCCTGCCAATATCTATCCGTGGTGGAGTTTGAAAGAACGCTACGGTGTTCAAACGCGCATGGTGCCGGAGCGAGATGGATATATTCATATTGAAGATATCGCTTCCGCGATCGACACACGTACACGCGCCTTGACAATCAGCCATGTAGAGTTCGCCTCCGGTTTCCGAAACGATATTCAGGCACTCGGAGATCTGTGCAGAGAACACGATATTTGGTTCATCATTGACGCTATTCAGAGCCTCGGCGCGATCGAGGTGGATGTGAAATCTTGTAACGTTGATATTCTTGCAGCCGATGGACACAAATGGTTGCTGGCACCGGAGGGTGCGGCGATCTTCTACTGTGCTGACGAAAAACGCGAGCGGCTCATTAATACCAACATCGGTTGGTCGAGTGTTGTAAATCCGCGCGATTTTCTCGATTACGATTTAACCCAGAAGCCGGACGCAACCCGTTTTGAGGAAGGCTCTTACAACAGCGTCGGGCTTTATGGACTCAAGGCAGCGATCGACTTACTCCTTGACATCGGTATCCGTACAATCGAAGTACGCGTTTTGGAACTCACGAAACGTTTAATAGGCGGATTAGAAACCAAAGGCTATCGTGTCATCACACCGAAAACAGATTCAGATCGAGCGGGGATTGTTATTTTTGAAAGCGAGCAGCACACACCTGCTGAAATTTATGAGAGGCTTCACGCTGAAAATATAATCACGGCGGCGCGTGGAAGTGGTGTCAGGGTATCGCCGCATTTTTATAACACCACATCTGAAATTGAACGTCTGCTTGAAGTGCTACCAGACCTGTAATTTCGACCTCAAACAAAGGAAAAACAATTGGTTATACATCAGCGAAATAACATTCAGACACATACAGCAAGACCGACTTTAACATTCTGCTTGTCGCTTATTTTAGGTGCCCTGTTGATACTTAATGCCTGTACCTTTCCCGGCAGCAATCAGAAGATTAGCAAAATCCGTCTCACCATCCAAAACACATTACCTCTCCCACGAAAAAAGGTTCCGATCGTGCTGACTGGAACGCAACTCCGAAAAGTGAACCCCGATTTCACCTTCAAAGCCTATTCCGTTGTTACCGGGACAGCCCCGCGAGAAGTGATGATTCCAGCGCAAGCAGATGATTTGGACTATGACGGTGAACGCGATCAGCTCTGCTTTCTGTTAGATTTAGAGTCGGAAGAGACAAAAGAGATTTCGATTCTTTACGATCCGAACGTCAAGGCGACATTAACACTGGATATCCATAAACAGACGCGCGCCGCTATCTTTCCCGAACTCAACGCCGTGGCGGCAATGGAATCAAATCTGATTGCGTATATATTAAAGCCGAATGGCGCCTTCATCGCATACGGAAAAAAACGGGCAGAATTGTTCAGCGTAGATACAATGTTTCAACCCGAATTAGATTACGGGAGACCGCTCTCACCAGAACTCAGATACCATTTTGAGAATAACGGCGTTATCCTCTCCCAGCAGGTCCAAATAGAGATAGAGAAACCGGAGCAACAGTGGGTCGTCCGCGATCTCGAGAATCAAGAGATCTACTTTATCCGAAAATCACACAGCAGCCAATTCGATATGGAACAGGAAACTTCGACAGAGGGACAGTTAGACATTGTCAAATCGATCGGCTTATCGCTGAACGCGCTTCTCAAGCCTGAAACACCCGAAATGGTTGCACTAAATCGTTCAGAGGGTCTAATAGGTTGTGGCGGAATTGCACTCTGGCATAGAGAAAAAGGAGGAGATGATTCCATTGCCTACTGAAGGGAACTACGTCCGGATTCTCGCCGATGGCTCTATCCGCTCTATCGTCCAACGGATTGTGCCAGCGTGGGACATTCAGGGTGAGACACACAGGTTAGCATTAACTACCTTCATCTATGGAGAAAATCCGTGGATCGAACACCATATCCATATTGATGGAAACCTCTCCACGGATTATGCCATTGTTACAGGTATTCCACACCTGAACGGCACTTATGGAGAGGACAGAAAACAGGGGTGGGTATGGAGCTGGGGGACAGATCCGAGCGACATAGACACACTTGGCGTTGCACTCATTTCACTCACCGATCGCGGGGCAGAAGATCTAATCACAACTGTCAATCGCAATACATCGGAAAGTTCTCTTTTGCCGGTCATCCTCGTCCCAGATGCGGAAGGCAGGCTCAATTATCGGGCGTTTGCTATCTGGGGAGGCGGCATTGATGGAATAGAAACCGAGACGGAATTCGCAGAGCACGTCCAAATCACGACGACTGCGTTGAAGACCCCACCACATATCAAATTCTTGCCGAAAGAAGAAGGAGAAAAGTAGGGGTTTTGCTTGGGTGTTTTCCCTCAAGGTTACCTCGCCCCTACAATTGGAGAAAACTATGCTCATCAAGGAAGAATGTCTACAACTTATCGCAAACCATCGTACAGACGAAGTTGTTGTCACGACAATGGGAACTACCGTGCCGTGGGGCAAAATATCAACACATCCTTTGGACTACGCCTCCGTCGGAAGTGCGATGGGACACGCCGCCGACTTCGCACTCGGCATCGCACTTGCTAAACCGGATAAAAAGGTAATCGTGCTCAACGGTGACGGAAGCATGCTGATGTGTTTAGGTACTTTGGCGACGATTACCGCCCTGAACACACCACCACTTAACTATCTGCTTTTCGTCTCTGACAACGGCACCTACGAAGTCACGGGCAATCAACCGGTGCCCGCTGGCAATGCAGGTTTCAGTTGGACCACGATTGCGAGAGGTGTCGGTTTTGAGCAGGTTTATGAATTTGACGATTCAAACGCACTTGATGAAGCACTCCCGAAGATCTGGAATGAAACTGGACCCACTTTTGTGAACCTAAAGATTGCGCAAGCGGACGAACCGCCACCTGATCGGTGGGGTGGTTTTCCGTACCCATATCTGCAAGAGTCACTCGCCGAATCTACGCATAAGTTAAAACAAGCACTCGCAAGGTAGTAGGCACGCTCCGTCGGGTTCTCCGTAACCCACAGGATAATTGAGGAAGTGCGTCCATCCCACTGAAACCTGATAAAACAAAGCAGCAAGCCTGCAACAACGGGGCAGGCGACTCGAACACGGAAACCGTCAAAGTCCAAACCTGCTTCACTTATCCGCAAGGAATAATTAAAAAATGGAAACCACCACAAAATTAGAAACTCGACGGATGGGACGTACCGAGATGCGTCCGAACGCGCTGGCTCTCGGCGCGGCGTGGATGTGGCAGAAACCGGATACCGAAGTTATCGGTGCAATCCGTCGCGGCATCGAACTCGGTATCAACTATATCGACACCTATCCGGGGCACTCGGAACACCTCTGGGGAGAAGCACTCTCTGATGGATTGAGGGAAAAGGTCTATCTGCAAGCGAAGGTAGGCACACACCCTGAACGACGGAAAGACTTTTCCGCAGAAGGCACACGCTGGAGTGTCACAAACAGCCTTAAACACCTCCGCACGGATTACCTTGATGCCGTCCTCATCCACGATCCAATCGATATGGAGAGCGTGCTGGCACCCGGACGCGCCTTGGATACGCTGTTAGAAATGAAAGCGGAAGGCTATATTCGACATATTGGCGCGGGTGTCCGACCCCATGAATTCCACAAAGAACTTATCGAAACGGGGCATATCGACATTATCCTTACCTTCTTGGACTATACGCTGTTATCTCAATCTGCGTCTGAGACAACCTTACCGCTGGCACGCGAACACGACATCGGCATTATCCTCGCGAGTCCGTTGGGTATGGGGAGTCTGACCGGAGCAGAACCGAAGGTTGAAGAGGAACGCCGCCGTAATCCTGACGCTGAACCGAAGGCGTATGCGATGTGGAAATGGTGTCAGGAACGCGAGGTCAACATCCGTCATCTGGCGATGCAGTTTTGTCTCGCTGCCCCCATAGACGGTGTTGTGATGTTCGGTCCCGCGGATAAAGCGCAGGTAGAAGACGGATATGAAGCAGCGACAGCTGACATCCCGGTACATATTTGGGAGGCGTTCGAGGCGGAATTCGGCATCAAGCGCGGTATGTAAAACAAGAATAGAGACGTGGTGTAGATTGTCTGAATCAGGATTTACAGGATAAGAGGAAGGGCACTCGGAAATCTTGAGCCATCCCAGTAGGTGCGGTTTTCAACCGCACCTTTTCATTTTCATTTGAGAGACTCAAAGTAAATACGATCTGGAATGGTTTCTACCGTTTCACACCCGCAGTTAAATCTGACGCGAATTGCTTCACCGCAGTGAACAATCTCGCTTCGTCATTTATATGTTCCTCAACGACATTAATGATAGCACTCCCCACAATCACGCCATCAGCGATCTGAGCGATCTGTGTTGCCTGATCCGGTGTTGACACACCGAAACCGACGCTAATCGGTTTGTCCGTGTGTTTTCGCAGTTCTGCGATCATCGGAGCGATTTCGTCCGACAACATCGCCCGAGCCCCCGTTACACCCGTTACTGAGACACAATAGATAAAACCGGTGCTGACCGATGCGATTAATTGCATCCGTTCCGGTGGACTTGTCGGTGCGACGAGGAAGATCGTGGCGAGGTTGTATCGCGGTGCGATCTCAAGGAGCGATTGTGCCTGCTCAGGTGGCAGATCCGGGACGATGACACCGTCGACCCCTGCGTCTTGTGCCACCTGGCAAAATGCATCCTCGCCCATCCGAAAAATTGGGTTATAGTAGCTCATGAGCGCGATGGGGATATCCGTCTGTGTACGGACAGTCGCGACCATCTCAAGGATCTCTTGGAGCGAAATGTGATGTGTGAGTGCGCGTTCACTTGCGCGTTGGACGGTGGGTCCGTCTGCAATCGGATCGGAAAACGGAACGCCGAGTTCGATGAGGTCTGCACCTGCTTCTTCCAGCGTAAGGAGGAGTTTAGAGGTAAGTTCGGGGTTCGGGTCTCCGGCGCAGAGGTAGGGCATAAATGCCGTGGCACCTTGGTCTCGGAGTTCTTGGAATTTTTTGTCAATTCGATTCATGGATATAATTGAGTTCCGGCTTTCTCTTAATATGTTTTCTCAATTATACCCCGCATGCACCGAATTGTCAAGAGAAGTTTGATGAGTTGCAGAATACTTAGCCTATCGCTACCAGTGCTTCTTGTGCTTTGCGAGGCAGTTTAACAAAAATGAAACAAGATTCGGGATACAAGTAATCTTCCTGAGATTCATCAACAACTCTCAGATATCCCTCCTGAGCCGCTTTTTCATCAGGCAGAATTTGGTAGAACTTTCGCTTCTCAAGGTCTTCGCAACCGTTGTTTTCGATGCAAAGCGCGAATTGTGTTTCTAATGGTTTCTTTTCCATAGTTTTCAGTCCAAGAATCGTTTGATTTTTATCTTTTTTCTACCAATTCCATGAGCTTCATACCAATGGACCTCTGCGGCACCCCTATATCCGACACCGTTCCTTGAATCACCGCCGCCCGCCTTTCCAAAGATAGGCGGTATAGCCCACCCGCTCAAAAAAAGTGGAGAAGTCAATCCTTCGGCGCGCCGATGTTCGACAATCTCTATGGCAGAATCGCCAAACCAAATCCGCTCGCTTTTCGGATCAATGCCAGCTGTCTGCCCAATCCGTTCGGTAATATCGTGCTGTTTCTGGTATTCTGCCCAGATACGCTTGGCGTTGCGTGAATCGGCTTCCGTCCAATTTGAGTGTTTCATTGTTGACTCCTCCGTTCTGTTGCAAGCACAGTCTGAGACCAAGACCTTCCAACTAAAGAATACCACCAAACTTGGGCAATGTCAAATTGAATTCACCAGAGCGTTGTGTAAAAGGCTAGGTCCCAATGTCTAACGCCTCATCAATACGCTCAAGAATCCATTCCTTAATCAGTTCACCCGCTGGGATGTCGCGTTCCTTAGCAAGTGTTATCACAACCTCGGCATCTTCAGGTGTTAGCCAGATGGAGGCTTTGAATTCATTGCCCTGTTTCAAGAGCATTCCCTCTCGTTGCTGCATCTCTTGGGCTGCGAGGTATTCATGATCATCGTAGACATCCTCGTATTCTTCAACTTCGGGATCTATGATGTGTTTACAGCATTATCAGTTCCTCCTATTAGTTATTTTCGCGTCAAGAAAATACTCCGGGTATGCAAATATTCTGTCAAACGCTCGCGGACGAGGTTAGGAAACTTCGCCAACTGAGCTGTAGGGTGAGACAGTAGTAAGGCACGGAAATCTCACTCTACAGCCACTCATCATGCCTTCCGAAAGACGAACTCCCTATCTTCAAATTCAACAGTGACTACATCGCCATCGTGGAAGGTGCCCTCCAGCATCTGGATAGCCAACGGATTGAGGATATCCCGCTGGATTGTTCGCCGTAGAGGACGCGCACCGTACACCGCATCAAACCCGCGTTCCACTAACTCTCCCTTGGCAGATTCAGAAAGCGTCAGTCGCCATCTCCTTCTCCGCAAAGCGATTGCTGAGTTGCGCGAGTTCCAGCGTGACAATCCGCTTCAATTCTTCGATACCGAGACGGTCGAAGATAATCAGATCGTCAATACGGTTCAGGAATTCGGGAGGGAAATGTGTCTGCACCGCTTCCATCACTTTCCGACGAATCTCTTGCGCGTCCAAAAGCGCATCGCTAATCCACTGACTCCCAATATTAGAGGTCATGATGACAACCGTGTTCTTGAAATCGACGGTGCGTCCTTGTCCGTCCGTCATTCTGCCATCATCAAGCATCTGGAGCAAGACATTGAACACCTCTGGATGCGCCTTCTCGACCTCATCAAGCAGGATGACGCAGTAAGGATGTCGTCGGATCGCTTCGGTCAGTTGTCCGCCTTCATCGTAGCCGACGTACCCCGGTGGTGCGCCGATCAATCGGGAGACGGTGTGTTTCTCCATGTACTCGCTCATATCAATACGCGCCATGGCGTTCGCATCGTCAAACAGGAATTCGGCGAGCGATTTGGCGAGGTGCGTTTTACCGACGCCAGTCGGTCCCATGAAAAGGAAAGAACCGAGCGGTCGATCAGGATCACCGAGACCGACGCGAGCGCGTCGAATCGCATTGGAGACAGCACTCACAGCCTCATCTTGCCCGATCACCTGTTCTCGCAAACGTTCTTCCATGCTAAGGAGTTTCTGAGTCTCGCCTTCCATGAGTCGAGAAACAGGAATACCCGTCCACTTCGCTACAATTTCAGCAATGTCTTCTGCACTCACGCGCTCCTTCAACATCTGCGTGCCTTGTGTGTCCGTTTCCAAAGTTTCTCGGACAGTCTTGAGCCGTGATTCCAATTCCGGTATCTTGCCGTACTCAATCTCTGACGTTCTGCCGAGGTTGCCCACACGTTTGGCTTGCTCCGACTCAATACGGAGTGCTTCAATCTGTTCCATTAACTCGCCAATCTGTGTCAAATTCGCTTTTTCGTTCTGCCACGCGACTTTGAGGGCATCCGCTCTCTCTTTGAGTTCGGCAAGTTCAGCCTTCAGTTTTTCAAGACGTTGCTGTGATGCCCCGTCTTCCTCTTTCTCCAATGCTTGTTGCTCAATTTGGAGTTGAATGATTCGACGTTCCACCTCGTCAATTTCCTCTGGCACGCTGTCGATCTCAATGCGCAACCTCGACGCGGCTTCATCCACCAAATCCACGGCTTTATCCGGTAGGAACCGTTCGGAGATATAACGCTTCGAGAGGGTAGCTGCAGCGACAATAGCACTGTCCTGAATTTGTACGCCGTGATGTGTCTCATAGCGTTCCTTCAAGCCCCGAAGAATGGCAATCGTGTCTTCAACTGACGGCTCTTCAACCTGCACAGGCTGGAATCGGCGTTCCAAGGCGGCATCCTTCTCAATGTGTTTGCGGTACTCGTCGAGTGTGGCCGCGCCTATGCACCGGAGTTCACCCCGCGCCAATGCGGGTTTGAGCATGTTTGAAGCGTCTACAGCACCTTCCGCCGCACCCGCACCGACGATGGTATGGAGTTCATCGATAAAGAGGACCACCTGTCCTTCTGCCTGTTCCACATCGGTAAGGACCGCTTTCAGTCTGTCTTCAAATTCACCACGGTACTTACTACCTGCGATGAGTGCCCCTAAATCGAGGGCAATGAGTCGTTTATCGCGAAGGCTTTCTGGAACATCACCATCAGCAATACGTTGTGCTAACCCCTCTACAATCGCCGTTTTCCCGACACCCGGTTCACCGATCAGGACGGGGTTATTTTTGCGTCTTCGGGATAGCACTTGCATCACACGGCGGATTTCATCATCCCGCCCGATAACTGGGTCAAGTTTACCTGAAATTGCCTCTTGTGTGAGTTCCCTACCAAATCGGGTAAGTGCCTGATATTTGTCCTCTGGATTCTGATCGGTTATCCGCTGTGTTCCGCGAATATCGACGAGTGCCTTGAGAATCGTGTCCTTTGTTACACCCGCTTCCCGAAGGATTTTGCCCACTTCGCTCTGTTTCGTCTCGGCACACGCTACCAAGAGATGCTCTGTACTGACATATTCATCTTTGAGTGCCGTCGCCTCTTTGAATCCGGTATCCAAAACGGATTGTAGAGCAGGGGCAATACGCATTTCAGCCGCTAGCGCCTTGTACTTTCGGTGCTTTTTGAACAGCGGTTTCAACCGCTGACGTAATGCCAGCAGTATCAACACCCAATTTCTGAAGAATCGGTGTGACAATTCCATCCGTCTGCCTGATGAGAGCCAACATAAGATGTTCAACCCCAAGTTCAGGACTTTGGACATCTGCCGCTAAGCTCTGTGCTGTTTCGAGTGCTTCTTGTGCTTTAATTGTAAATCTATCAAATCTCATGACCGACCTCCGTTATTGTATTTATAGGACTTACGCAGCGCCCTTTGCTGGCGAGGTTTCAAACCTCGCCAGCGGCGTGCGGGACGCGGGTGTGCATCAGAAAATTGCGTAAATCCTAATTTATTTTCATCGCATTCAAGTCTGTTCTGTTGTATAGTATAGCAAGATTTATGCCATTGCTGTCTATACGCTGAGATTTGACAGAATCGTGGATAGTGTACCAACCCTGTGCCACTTTGACATCCAATGCGCAAATCTGGCAGGAAAAATCGGTTGCGTCGCGCCAATTTATCACTTGATTTTCATTTATCTAAAAGGGGTTCGGTCACCACAAGTTCTTGATTCGCCGCGAGGTTTTCCAATATTTGCACAACGCCACTTTGCCAGCGGATCTGAAGTTTATCCACACCGGTTCGCTCCCCAAGTCCGAAGAGCAACCTCGGATCATTGCTACTGAGATAACTGTATCCTCGATGAACTTCACGCGTTTGGGATTCAGTACCGAGTGTCAATGTAACGCGTGCTCCGATGCCATCACGATTGCTGCGGGTGCCGATTAGTTTGAGACGCAGCCAGTTGTTGGAAGTGCGGTTCTCATTTCGGAGGAGCGTCACTTTGTCATTCAACTGCGTGACAAGAAGATCTGTATCGCCATCGTTGTCATAATCGCCGAAAAGGGTCCCACGACTAACAGCATGTTGCCCCTCAAACTGCATCTCGACAAACGTGCTATTGCTTTGATTCCAGAAGAGTTGATTCGGTTGCTTATACGAGAGGACATCTGTGGTCCGTTCAACATTTGGAAAAATATGACCATTCGCGATAAAAATATCAAGGTATCCATCGTTATCGGGGTCGAAGAATCCGGTTCCGAATCCTAAAAAGAGATAACTTTCCTCACCGAGCCGCGCCTTATAACTGACATCGGTGAAAGTTCCGTCTCCGTTATTCCGATAAAGGGTGTTTGTCTCGTAGGAAAAATTGGTGACAAAGAGATCCAGAAAACTGTCACCGTTGTAATCCCCGACATCAACCCCCATACCGGCTTGCGCTACGCCGTCCGCGCTGTAGGCGCAACCTGTGAGAATAGCGATCTCTGCGAATGTGCCATCACCTTTGTTATAGAAGAGATAATTCGGCGTGTCATCGTTGGCGACGTAAATGTCGGGATTGCCATCGGCATCAAAGTCTGCGGCAACAACACCTAATCCCTTGCCAAGAAACATTCCACCCGGATCCCGAATGTTGGCGGCATCTGTAGCATCAGTAAAAGTACCATCGCCGTTGTTTCGATAGAGTCTATCGGGTGCGCCTTCAAAGTGTTTTGGGTGACAATAACCGCGAACCTTCTCGGTGGCACCGAACGCCGGATCTTCCAAACAGATAGGAGCGGAAGCATCTAACGTGTAGTTGACGTAGTTAACAACGTAGAGATCAAGGTAACCATCGTTGTCATAATCGAAAAAAGTCGCGCTACTACTCCAACGGGTATCACCTACACCTGCTTGAGCAGTAACATCGGTGAACGTCCCGTCGCCGTCGTTATGATAGAGTCGATTCGCACCGAAATTGGTTACATAAATGTCCACGTAACCGTCATTGTCGTAATCTCCACACGCAACGCCGTGTCCATAACCCCCTTGATTGTCAACTTCAGCAGACTCCGTAACATCCGTGAAAGTGCCGTCCCCCTTATTTCGGAAGAGCACACTTGGCGTCGCACTATTGACGAGGTAAAGATCAAGGTAGCCATCGTTGTCATAATCGAGGAATGCACCGCCAGCACCGAGGGTCTCGGGCAGATGAAACTCACCCGTCGCACCATTGGCGTGCGTAAAGCGGATACCGGCTATATCGGTAACATCTGTGAAATGGATAGAGGGTTCTATTGACAGTGCGGGAAACGGAATGAGGAAGAGGAACAGGATGAAACAGGTTATCATCGCAATCGGCTGACCACATCCTAAAACACGGCAGTGGTAAAACTTATCACGCTTCAAAATGATATTAAACACGAGGGCATCCATAAAGTGTGTACGCGCTTCTACAGATTTAACCGTCCGATGTTCGATACATCTCCGAGATTACTTCAAGAATATCAGGTGCCTTGGCGAGATAGCGGACCTTTGCTTTTTCTTTAATGTCGTTGGGAATACCGTGCAGTGCTTCTGCGATAGCACCGGCAATCGAACCGAGAGTATCGGAATCGCCACCGAGAGAGATAGCGTTGCGCACAGCATCTTCATAATTTTCTGATTCTAAAGCACACGTAACCGCCTGTGGGACTGTGCCTTGGCACGTCATATCGAAAGCATAACCCAGACGGATGTCGTCCACTGTCCGTGTCAGATCGTAGCCGTATTCGGCAGTAATAATCTCGCGGATACTTGTAGGACTTTCGTCTCGGAAGGCGAGCCAGATGGCGTGAGTCGTCGCCCGAGCACCTTTTATGCCTTCAGGATGGTCATGGCTGATAACGGTCACTTTGTCAGCAGCGGCGAGTGCGGCATCCAAATCATCTCGGTTCAGAAACGCCGCTGGTGAGACGCGCATCGCCGCACCGTTACGGAAAGTGCAGTTGGGGTGCATGCTCCTCGGAATAGATCCAGTTTTTAAATATTTGACTGAAACCACACCTCGGATACCGCTTCCCCCACTTTCGCATCGTCTCGGCTGGCGAGAGATCGTGTAAGAGAGAATCAGCGACAGCAGTCGTGCAAACCGAATCATCTGTGAAACGGCAGTCTCACCGAAAAAAGGGAAATCTTTGGTTTTAATCCGACGATCTTTGGGTTCGTAGATCGACCCAACAATATCCCCGATAATTGCACCCAGCATAGTTTTGCCTTTAAGTCTTACGCGAATTTGTTAGGCGCGCTTAATGAAGATTAAGAATTTAAATCGGTAATGTGAGAGGGGTTTGTAACCCCGAATTACCGAAATATTTATTTAAACTTCATCAAAGCGTGCCCACCTAAGAAAATCTTTCAAAGAAGCGTAGAGAAACCTCGCCCTACAGCAATACATATCTGAAAATAAATCCTATCGCAGTGTACGTTGTGCCTTGATCGCCGCCCATGTCGTAGTAAATTTGTCTTGTGGTTCAACGCTCACGACTGCGGCTGCATAAGCAGCAAAATCGGATTCATCAAAAGCAGAGCCATAGACGATGACTTCATCTATTATACCACCGAAGTAGTGGATATCTGTACCTGCGCCATCATCATCGTGGAAAACGGCGTTGGCATTGACATGCCCGATACCGATATCGTCGCCGTGACCATAAAGTGCACCGCCATCTTCACTCGCGACGAGTTCACCATTAAGCCACATCTCAAATTTATTGGGCTCGACTGCGGCATCTGCATCACGGATAACCAAGGCGACGTGATACCAGACACCAGATTCTACCGGAGCGGAGGGCCAGGCACCGTCCCAGTTGTATTCCGCTCGATTCCAACCGGCGACATAAACCTGTCCGTCAAAGACATTGATGACGAGACCGCGTGTCCGTCCGCCTTCCTCAAAAATTGTCTGCTTCTGTTCGGTAATATCGACATCGTCGCAGTTAAAGTAACAGGCAATCGTCCGATCGGTATAGAAGTCGGGTTGGGCAAGCGTATTAATACCAACAGAATCAGGTAATTTCACGCCATCGTCTACACCGTCGAAAAGCAACGCTGTGCCAACGATGCCGTCAACAACCTCGGGGTCTCCGACGATTGTCCCGTCCAAGCCTTTTCCGGAGGTGTCTACGGCATCTCCGCCATCAAAATTCCAAATTCCCTCAGCAGTCGCTTCGTCTCGCGCAGCGTAAGTGGCTGCGGCGATAAGCATGAGCAAGATACTCAATAGAGAACAAAAACGATATTTCGTCATTGTGACAAGTCTCCTTTATCGATCTCCCCGTCAAAACCCCATGCTTTAGCTTGGGGATGTAGACGGTGTATGGGTTTGTCATTGAAAATAAATTTGACATTCAGTCCAAATTGTAGTATAATACTACTAACACTTTGGACACCGCTTTGACCCTCCACATACCTTGTGGAGGAGGTGTCCGCTTCGGTCAAAGGAAGTCAAAAGGTGTTAAGTGTCAATACCACTCTAAAAGTATTTGGGCAGCTAACGCTTAAAGTTTCGGAGCAGAGGTGAAAGTCTGCACGCTGTATTTGCTGCCTACCTTTTCATTTTTTCTATCCTTTTGGATAGAGGCAGGCGGGGATAGTTTCCAAGATTTCGCCTTGATATGCCCGAAGCGATTTTTCACGCTACGGGGAATCGCCTGCTGGTGGAGACAGCATAAGACGGTGGACTCTTTGAGAAAACCGCTATTGTCTACGAAGCCGAAGCCCCTACCTTTAGGTAGTGGGTGCTATCACAGATTGTTATTATTGAATTTCAATTTGAAACTTGAGACTACTTTTCAGTGCGTTGGGCTTTCAGGTTTGCCCAAGTTGTTGTGAATTTGCCTTGCGGTTCAACACTGAGTGACTTCGCGAGGTCTGCGAAACCTCCCTCATCAAAAGCGGAACCGTAGACAACAACTTCATCGATTAAACCACCAAACCAATCAAGATCGCTTCCACCGCCACCGCCATCATGGTAGACGGTGTTCTGGTTGAGATGACCGATGCCAATATCATCACCGTGAGCATGGAGTTGGCCGCCCTTTTCCTGGGCGATTCGCTTGCCATCAAGCCACATCTCAAACTTTTTGCTTTCTACTTTATCTCTCGCATCTCGAATGACTAAGCCGACGTGGTACCATCGCTTTTGCCGTTGAACTTCAACGCTTTTCCGGCGATACCATCAACGGCTTGCGGTTTTCCAGCGAAATTGCCATTTACCCCTTTCTTCTAGCTATCTTTGGCACTGCCATCGTTAAAGGTCCAGTTGCAGCGACTGTCGCTTCATCTCGCTGAGCATCCGTTGTTACAATAGGTAGCAACACGCCCAGAAACAGAACAATACAGAATGTAAAAATAAACACTCGCATCATTTTTATACTTGGAGGTTGAGGTTTTTGAGGCAGCGATATCCGTGCCTCAAACTTCTGGTGCATGATACGCCTTTAATTATTTTATTATTAAAAATTTCTAAAATTTTGTCAAATTAAAAAACGCAAAATAGAACAGGACTTACGCAAACAGGCGATAAATCGTTTCCTTATTACAAACACAATCTCTTGAAAATAGCCGTGTTTCTCAAAACAAGCGCGGTTCGTAGTCGCGCAATTCATTGCGCATTGCGTAAGTCCTAATTGTAACGTGAGTTCGACTTAAGGATTTAGAGAAATTCGACACGACATATTACATCTATCGCCGATTTGATGACGGATATACTCCCGCTGGAGCAAAGTATCCGTTTTGGTGTTGTGTTGTGTCTCACTTTCGTTCAATTGAACCTACATGATGAACCAATTTCTTATATCGAACTGACGTTAAAATAACAACAATAAAGATGTTGACACTAACCCATATCTTATGTTATTTTATCATAAAAGCACCTATAAAAATTCCATCTATCTTTAGTTTTGAAACAGAGTACTTATGACGTGTACCATCGGTAGAAAAGGAGACAAACCAGGATGCAATTAGCCAAAACACAACACATTTTCATTTGCACGCTCATGCTTTGCATGATGTCGTTCTTGATGTTCCCACTGACAACAATAGCGCAAACGGTTAACATCCCCGACACTAACCTCCGCGAGGCAATTGCGGAAACACTCGGCAAAGCACCAAACGCTCGAATCACAGTAGATGAGATGAGGACATTAAACCGTTTTGATGCAAATAACAGAGAAATCAGTGATTTGACAGGACTTGAGCATGCGAAAAATCTGGAGCATACGGAACTTAACCACAACCTGATATCCGACATATCACCGCTCGCGGGATTGATTAGACTGCGCGTCATAGAGTTGGGAGATAATGCTATATCCGATATATCATCGCTTAAAGGTTTAGTCAACTTAGATGGGTTACATATTCCGGATAACTTGATATCCGACCTATCCCCACTCAAAGGTCTTATCAACTTGAGATGGACAAATCTTAGTCATAACGCTATAAGCGATTTATCCCCACTCGCCGGTTTAATAAAACTCGAATCGATAGCACTGACCGATAATCCGCCGGTAGATCTGTCCCCCCTCGCGGGATTAACTAACCTGCAGAATTATCACTCTTGGGGGACTCCTATATTAAACCTTTCCGTCTTAGCGGATTTACCGAAACTGAGAGAAATAAAATGTTTGCGGTGGCGAAATATCGGATATTTCTCCTTTGGCACGCGCAAAAGGTTTGAAAGAATTGTATCTTGTTGATAACGACATATCGGACATCTCAGCGTTGAAGGGTTTAACTGGCTTAACACGCCTAAGTCTTAAACATAACGAGGTATCCGATCTATCGCCGCTTGAAGCGTTAAGCAACCTGACATGGGTAGAACTGCACGACAATGCAATATCGGATGTATCTCCGCTTGCGGGGCTGAATAGCTTGACATGGTTAGACCTTAGTCAGAATGTAATAACGGATGTATCCTCGCTTGCATCTTTGCGCAGCTTGACATGGATGGGGCTTACCAACAATGCAATAGCAGACGTATCGATCTTTGAAAGATTTTCTGAGGAGACATCTATTTCGCACTCGAATTTCATTAACTCCGCTTTCCCGGAAGCCGGTCCAAAAATAGAGGGGCCGTGGTTATGGATGATCGTACCAGGATCACGTCTTGACAACACAGATTTGTTAGCAAAAGCGAGTGATGGTGCCGCAACGGAGGTGAAAGTCGCTACCTTTGGGGCAACCGAGGGGAAGCCTGTCGGAGACGGCAAGTGGAGGGCTCACAGACTCGCCCCTACGGGTGGGGATAACCTTAACGAAATGACGGATGCCCTCGGCTGGGGGTCAGGTTCAGAGATATATGATCATGTCGTTTACGGTTCCGTCACGTTGAACTCACCGCGAGAACAGGACACAATAATGCTTGTCGGGAGTGATGATGAAGTAAAAAGTTTGGCTCAACGGGGAATTGGTTCACTACAATCCCGTCCTCCGAGGTGCTGGCGATTTCCAAGATGCGTTCCCTGTCACGTTGAAGAAGGGTGTAAATGTGTTATTAGTCGCCGTTGACAATCGGGGACATGGTGCCTTTAGCGGTTTTTTCGGTTTCGCACAAGACACAGACTATACAGTAAATCCAGTTGGGAAAAAAATTACGATAAAAACACCCGCATGGGATGTGAACAGAGATGGACAAACCAACATTCTGGATTTGATTCTGGTAGGACAAGACTTCGGAAAGTCCATATCTACGAACGCGCGAACTGATGTAAACAGAGATGGAAAGCGCAATATTTCAGACCTCGTCCTTGTTGCACAGCACCTCGGTGAACTCAGCGGAATTTCTGCTGCACCTTCTGCGCTTGCAATAGGCGATATGAGATTGGATCCAGCGATGATACAGGGATGGATAGCACAGGCACAGATTGAAAACGACGGTTCGCTTGCTTTCCAACAAGGGATAGCGAATCTTCAACACCTTTTGGCATTGCTGACGCCAGAAAGGACAGCGTTGCTGACGAATTACCCGAATCCGTTCAACCCAGAGACATGGATACCGTATCAACTCTCCGAACCCGCCGAAGTCACATTGCGTATCTATGCGGTGAGTGGCACTTTGGTTCGGACGTTGAATCTCGGACATCAACCTGCAGGAATCTATCATCAACGCAGTCATGCGGCGTATTGGAACGGCAAAAATGAACTCGGTGAGTCTGTTGCGAGCGGAGTCTATTTTTATACCCTAATCGCTGGCGATTTCACCGCAACGCGGAAAATGCTGATAATGAAGTAAGGACGTGCAGCTAAAAGGTATCGCGAGCATGGGGGAAACACCCAAGCAAAAACACTTGCTCCTACAAGAAGGGGAAGAAAAACGCATGAAGAATTTCATCAAAATTAGCCTTCTATTAACGTTTATCTTGGGGTATCATAGTGCTGAGGCACAGCAGAACCTCGCACAAGAGGCGTATCTTATCTTTCAACAAAATTGCTTTGACTGCCATGGACCCGCTGGCGTTTCCCGAGAAGCACTCATCATTGAGCACACCGCACTCATTGATACCGGGGCAGTCGTTCCGGGGAAACCGATTGAATCTAAACTCTATAGGCGACTATTTGAAGAAGATGACGCAAAACGGATGCCGTTGGGTCAACCCCGGCTCTCCGGTGCAGCGATTCAGACCATCGGTGATTGGATTCAAGCAGGCGCGCCGAGTTGGGAAGTCGAACATGATGTTAATTTCATTACAATAGACGCAATGCTCACGAGTATTCAACGACACGTCAAATCATTAGATCCCTTTGACCGGCACACCGCCCGTTATTTTACAATGACACATCTCTATAATGCTGGGGACAGTCCTGAAACCCTGAATACTTACCGGATGGCACTCTCGAAACTGGTGAATAGTCTCTCTTGGAGTTTCGACATTACCAAGCCTATGCCCATTGACGCTGCAGAAACAATCTTCTATGTTGACTTGCGGGATTATGAATGGGATCAGATCGATGCTTGGACGCAGATTGAGGAGATATATCCATATCTCATTGAGTTCGATGCCGAGCCGCAAGCGGGGTTGCGTGAAAAACTGACGAATCTCCGTGATGAGATGAATTGCGAAGTGCCGTTCGTGCCTGTTGACTGGTTTCTTGCGAAGGCTTCACTGCCACCCCTGTATCATGATATTCTGGATCTGCCAGAAACCGATAGAGAACTGGAGAGAGAACTGGGTATAGATGTCGAAAGAAATATCCTCCTTTCGCCGGGGCGGAGTGTCTGGCGTGCGGGTTTCAACAATTCGGGACCGTCACAGAACAACCGTGTTGTCGAGCGGCATGCGTTTCGTCAAGGCGCGTATTGGAAGAGCTACGATTTCGCTGGGAGTGCGGGTGTGAAAAATGTCTTTACGCATCCGACATCCTTCAAACATGATGGCGGTGAGATTATCTTCAATCTCCCAAATGGGTTACAAGCCTATTATATCTCAGATAAGTTGGGAAATCGTATAAATGCGGCACCCTTGACTATCGTATCCCAACCCTCAGGCGACAAGATCGTTCGAAATGGTCTGTCCTGTATCGGTTGCCACACAGAAGGGATGAAGACGTTTACGGATGTGGTGCGTGCTGTGATTCTTCGGACTCGCAACCCGAGCTACAACAAGGATCATGCGTTGCGTCTGTATGTAGAACAAGAAGTGATGGATGAGAAAGTGAGAGAGGATACGCGACGTTATAAGGCGGCTCTTGAAAAGACGGACAATGTGTTTGGTGGGATTATTGAGCCGGTGTCTTATTCCTACGAGTCGTTTCAAGCGCCGTTGGATGCGGCACATGCTGCTACGTCAGTCGGTTTAGAAACCGAAGCGTTTCTTGACGAGATTCGTAAGAAGTCGAGTTTACAAAACTTAGGGTTAACGGGGTTGCTAAGTGAGAGTAATGTGAAAAGAGATGTTTGGGAGACTAACTTTGCTGATGTGGTTTCTGCGCTAAACTCTCCAGATGACATCGGACCGCGACCGGTTGTGCCGGTGGATGACCTGAGACCCAGCGATTTGGTTCCCATTCCTGACGTAAACCTCCGCGCTGCCGTTGAATCGGCACTCGGTAAACCTGCTGGCGCATTGATTACAGCGGCAGACATGGCAAGGTTGACGCGTCTTGAGGCAGATGAGGCTGGCATTCGTAATTTAACAGGACTTGAGGCAGCGACGAGACTGGAGCGGATAGAATTTCGTCATAATGCAATATCTGACTTATCTCCACTTGCGGGATTAACACAACTGAATAACATCAAGCTGCGCGGGAACAGAATCACTGACGTGTCACCGCTTGCAGGTCTAATCAACGTAGACTGGCTTGGGCTTGAGGAAAACCAGATAACCGATTTGTCTCCATTGAAAAGTTTAACAAAATTAAACGGGATAGGGATTTCGGGTAATCCAGTATCGAACGTGTTGCCCCTTGCGAGTCTGACCAGTTTAGAAGGCATAGCCGCTGGGAACACGCCTATCTCAGATTTTTCGTCCTTAGCAAAACTACCCAGACTGCGATGGATAGAGTTTGGTGGCGATCGATCTATATCAAAGATTCCCTCTCTAAAGGGATTAAAAACACTGAGACGACTGGACATTAGTCACTGCAATATTAAAGATCTTTCCGCTTTGGCAGAATTAACGCAGTTGCAGGAACTAACATTCGTAAATAACTCGATATCGGACGTGTCACCATTGAGAAACCTAAAAAATTTGGAACACCTGAACCTCGATGCTAACGTCATATCGGACGTATCGCCGCTTGCAGGGTTAACAAGGTTGAAAGTATTGTACCTTGAAAACAACGTCATATCGGATGTATCGCCCCTTGCGGGACTAAAGAATTTGGAACGCCTTGACCTCCGCAACAACGCGATATCCGACTTTTCACCTTTAGACGGATTACCCGAAGAGACTATTATCCGAATGGAAGGCAATTCGGGTTCTTTCGTAAGAGGTGCAAGGAAAATAGTGGGACCATGGCTATGGATGATTGCACCTACAGGTGGCAGGTCCGGTGCAGAGGCCGTCAATTCCAGGATAGATTTCCTTTCGCAAACGAGTGGAGGTGCTGTAACAGAATCGAAGATTGCAACTCAGGGAGCGACAGCAGGAAACCCCGTTGGGAATAGAGTCTGGACAGTCGGGACACTTTCTCCTGAAGGTGGCGATAACATCAATGACATGGCGAATGCTACTGGATTGGGGTCAGGCGATGTAAATCATCATGTTGCCTACGGTTCGGTTAGCTTGAATTCGCCCCGGGAGCAAAAAACAAAAATGCTTGTCGGGAGCGACGATGCCGTCAAGGTTTGGCTCAATGGCAATTTGGTGCACAACAATCCTGTGGACCGAGGTGCCAACGATTTCCAGGATCAGTTTTCCGTTACTTTGAAAAAAGGAACAAATATCTTGCTGATTGCTGTTTACGAAGCATTGGGAGGTTGGAGCGGCTTTTTTGGGTTTGAAACTGGCACAGAATATACAGTATTATCCCCCAGCGAGCGATTCTCCCTGTCTATAGGAACAACGCAGATTGCGGTCGGTGATACCTTCACCCTCCGTCTCAGCACAGAAAATTCTTCTGATTTAGCAGGGTGGCAAGCCGATATTATCTTTGACCCAAATGTGCTAAAAGCAAACAGCGTAAGCGAAGGCACCTTTCTGAAGCAGAAAGGAGGGCGTACCCACTTCGGGAAAGGCACGATTAATAACCAAAAAGGTAAGATCGCTGGTATAAGTTCGGCGCGAATCTCACAAGGCGGAGTAGACGGTGAAGGTACGTTGCTGTCGGTCACATTCACGGCAAAGGTTACTGGAGAAACACGAGTGGCACTGCGTCAGTTCCATGCAGGTTCCAGTGCTGGTAAGACTATTCCGTCTCGTTCCCCTGATACCATCATTACTGTGGGAACTCCGTCCGTTTCCGATGTGAGTGGTGACATGTTTTCCCTTTCTACAGATGCATCGCCTATCGGATCTGGTGGTGTCTTTACCCTTCGTTTCAGTGCAGAAAAGGTTGCCGATTTAGCAGGCTGGCAAACTGATATTACCTTTGATCCTGCTGTGCTTGAAGCGGTTGAGGTGAACGAGGGTGATTTTCTGAAAGCACAGGGCGAAGGCACCTTCTTTTTGAGAGGCACCATTGATAACACAGCGGGTAAAATCACCCAAATAAGCTCCGCTCGACTCAGCGGTGGTGTCAGCGGCACAGGTACCCTGCTATCGGTCACATTCACAGCGAAGACTGTTGGAGAAACCCGATTGGTATTTAGCAACTTCCAAGCTGGAAACAGGAAGAGTGAGATAATCGCTTCAAACACTCCGCAAATTACCATTACGATTGAAGACGGCGCATTTCCGGCTTGGGATGTGAATCAGGATGGTCAGGTAAGCATTTTAGATTTAATTCAGGTTGCACAACACTTAGGCTCTACTGTGTCTGCTAACCACGAAGCTGACGTAAATGGTGATGGCACCGTCAGTATATTGGACCTCATCGCTGTAGCACAACACTTAGGTGAATCAAATGCATCAGCAGCACCTTCTGGTGTTAATATAGATAGTTTGGAATTAGACCCGACAACGATTCAGGCATGGATAGCACAGGCGCAGATTGAAGATGACGGCTCCATCGCCTTCCGACAAGGGATAATAAACCTTGAGCAGCTTTTGGCTCTGTTCATTCCAGAAGAAGCGGCTTTGCTTCACAACTATCCGAATCCGTTCAATCCAGAGACATGGATACCGTATCAACTCGCGGAACCTGCGGATGTCACGATACATATCTATGCGGCGAGTGGTGTGTTGGTCCGGACGGTAGCACGCCTCGGACATCAGGCTGCGGGATCTATATCAGTACGAGTCCGTGCGGCGTGTGGGACGGTAAACGAAGTGGCGAGTCGGTCGCAGTGGCATCTATTTTACAACATCCCGCTGGCGACTTCACGGCTACCGGTTAAATGCTCGTGATGAAATAATTTCCTGCTATATTTGAAAAGCACTTCAGTGAGAACTATAAAAGGAGATAGCCTGAATGCAACTAACTAAAACAAAATATCTTTTCGTTGTCACGCTCTGTATGGCGTTGTTCTTTGATTTTTTTTTTTTTTGGGCTTTCCATTCTAACGACAACAGCACAAACCGTTAACATTCCCGACGCAAATCTGCGTTCTGCGATTGCGGAAACACTCGGTAAAGCACCGGGGACACGGATTACAAGAGATGAAATGGCGACGCTAACGCACCTTGAAGCGCATGATGCTGATATCAGGAATTTGATAGGACTCGAGTTTGCGACAAAACTGGAAGAGATAAGATGCAACAACAATTCAATATCCGATATATCACCACTTGCAGAATTGATTAGACTACGCGTCATAGCGTTTAGAACTAACGCGATACGCGATTTATCACCGACCACGGGATTGATTAACCTGGAATGGCTAATTGTTCCCCATAATTTGATATCCGATCTCTCACCGATTGAAGATTTGATTCAATTGGCGCCCCCCCCCCAACCCCCCCCCCGGTCCAGTAACCCGGGGGGGACTCACCCCCACCCCCCCCTTCGCCCACGACAGACACCATCCTGCACTGTAAATCCGACCTCCCCTATCTCCACATCGCTGATGCGTTTAATAAAAAAAAAAACTGAGAGGTATGGATGCCAACCGAAAATCCTCCAATGGGACCTATCATCGCGCCACAACCTGCGCCCCCAACCGGGACTCCACAAACAAGCAGCAAGACAGGAAGGCATTATCACATTGGGGACCCCACTGGTTGTCTCAGGACTCTCTTCCTTAGCAAAGTTACCCAAAATTGACCAAAGGTTATAGATATTTGTGGCGGAGGAAAGACGAGAAATATTCGGAACATCTCACCCTTGGAGGGGGTTAAACAGGTTTGAAAGAACCACCCTACTGAATTTGGTCGGGTACCCACCACCCCCCCCGCACTGGAGGGGCGAGTCACAACCCCGACCCCCCCTACCCACACGCCCCCAGACCCTTTTCTTTTTTTGACTCACCCGCTTCTCTGGTCACAAACTTTCATAGTCCAACGTTCACACCCATTACAACACCACGGTTTTAAACCTTTCAACAACCGGCCTGACCCGAAGTACAGTAAACAACAACACCATGAACCGAGTATCGGACCCGTCTCTCCGCTTGGATCCTCGACCCAAACCCCCACCCCTTTGACATGACTAGAACTTGATGGACAATGAGCTATTGGACTTTTCGCACCTTGGATGTGTTCCCTGACCTCCTGTCTACTCGATGGCACTGTCTCTAGCGTTCGACACAATAATCCGGATTCACACAGGATGGCCCAAAAAATAGAGGGACCGTGGCTTTGGATCATAGGACAAACAGATGGGAATGCTTGGTTCAAAAGCAGGCTGCCTATGGACATGATTGTTACGACAAGCCCAGCGGTGGTAATTAACGGAGTTGAATATTGCGACTCCTCAGGGCTTGGCAATGGAAGGGGACCCCGTTGGAGATAAAGTTGGACCATAGGTAAATCTCCAAAAGAGGGGGTAATAACATAAATGAATTAGTGAATGTAGGGTTTCGGATCATGGTAACATAGGAATCACCATGTGCTTACGGTTCGGTGAACTGGATTTCACAGCGGGAAAAGGGGAACGGGAACAGAGCACAAAGTGTTCGTTGGAAGTTGGCGATGATGTCAAGGTCTC